GATGTACCTTGTCACAATACTTAAGTTCTGTTTTTATGTAAAGTAGGACGACTTAAACCAATAGGCAGTTATTAACAACTCTATTTTTTGGTGTTTGTTGGAATTTCACTGTAATCAATTGTCATATAACAACCCTTACAAAAAGGTTACTCACGAATAGATATAACAAATATACATGTAAAAGCTGAATTTGTAGTCACACAACTATCATGTTATCAACCACCAGGTTTCCGGTACATGACAACTGTGGAATTTTATGTCAAAAGCTCGTAGATATTAAGCGAGAAAAGAGGTGGTTTAGTTACGGTTTAACGTTATTCTCTTACACTTATGGATAGTAAATGACTGACTGACTGGTTTCAACATAGAACTTTGCACAGAGTTGCAGCAATTAGAACTGCCCCACTCCATACTGTAGACAAAGGAAGACAAAAGAAATTCCAAATAAAGATAACAAGCGGAAATGTAAGGGAGAAGGAATAGTAATAGAAAAATAATAGAGTTTAAAGGGATATGGCAAATCAAAAAGAGTGAATCTATCTGAGCCACTGAAAAAGATTTTGAGCTATATCACCAACTGTCCCGAGTCATTGGTTCTTAGCATCCTGAGGACCCCAACCAGGAAGTCCACACATGCCCCTGCAGCTTAAAGTAACTGTCAATGGTTTCAGGATGGTCGGGGGTGGGTGCCTTGCGCTGCGGGTTGGTCACCCCTCCGCACACCTCTTGAAATGCTCCCATATGACCGGGCGTCTTACATAGCCTCTCCTGAGGAAGTCCTACTCACTGCCTTCACGTGGCGGAGGTGTTTTTCACCAAAGTGAGAGGACGAAAGCGGATGCCCGGCGCTCTCCACCGGGTTGAATGTCCATTGGATGACAGTCTAGGGGAGATGGCTAAACCCTGATTCCAAACCTCCAACGACTGGCGTATGAAGCTCACCGGCAGACGTATGGACAAAGGGCTTGTTGGATGTCCTGGATGTCTGACCCCATTCAAAAAGGCGTATGAACCGAACTTCGGTCACCGGCTGCCAATGGATAGTGGACTCCCTACTCCACTCCTACTGCCTTGTAGGTCACACTTGGTTGTGTAAAGGCTAGAGCTGCACTCTCAAACAAAAGGCCAAGCGATTCTGGGGACATCACTCGTACCAAATTCCCATGAAACTTCATGAACTCTCTTACCTTGTCGCAAAACCTTGCAACAGATCGCCGCGCCTGGGCAGCGATGATTCGAGATGTTCATGAAGCCGGCTCATCCTTCCGTAGGAGATAGCCGAAGTAAAGTAAGTAAGTAATGGTTTCAGGGACTGGTGTTATGTTTTGGTTTGACCACCACTAGCTATTTTCCAACCTGATTCTATGCCAGCTAACATTGCCAGTCGAGAAAGGCAATGGCTAGGCATGTCTTAACACATGTCTTAACCATCTCAAATCAACGTAGCTTAACAAACCCACCGCCTGATTTTCCCTCCTTAGCTAACACTCGACGCCTAACCTCAGTATTACTCACCATATTATACTACTTAACACAGTGAAATGAACGCAGATGCCTGTGATCGGACAGTTAGCTTTTTCATGTCTTCCACTGTGGCCATGTCTCACAGACATAAAGGGGGACAAAGCAAACTACTGAGCAGTACAGACTTCCTTTGATTGACAGTCGGACAACACATCTATGCCAGAGATGATGCAGGTTGGGAAATGCTGCACGAGCCTTTTGTATCCATGTTGAGATTTCGCAAGCGATCAACCCATTGGGACTGATGTAACTTCCGAAATAAGCGAAATGGTTAACACGCTCTACCACTTCACTCCCTATATTTAAGGTAGGAAAATAAATGGCGACAAATCAGGGAAAACACTAGAGTATTATTTGTCTGGGAAACCTATACTTAGGAATAACGATCGCTTTCTTAATCACTCCCTTTTTTACTGCAAAATAAATGATTTAACTTAAAGTCAAAATAACACATTGGTGCCAATATTGTACCAGGTTTTGTGTTTTGAATAAAATAATAGTAAAGTATTATGTTGGAAACCAGTTTCCTAGATGTAAACATATTTCACTGTTGAAATAAGTATACAGTAGCTCTCACAGTCTCATGTACATATAAACAAACAGATGCACCAACTTGGCACGACTCGAAAAGTAGACAAAGGAGAATACACATACAGCATACTACTGCAACGAATTCCCACCAATAGTTGCTGCTTTGATATGGAAAACACTAAACCCTAAATCAGAAAACTCACTCCTCCACTTCATCCCAGAAGACGACGGCTTGTGTATTGTCCCGATGAACCAGTCTGCGAAAACAAGGAAAGATAACGATACTCATCGATATCTTTACGCAATCTTCCACTGAATGCAGTTCATATGAAGAAAACGATCTTTATTACAAGCTTTCCAGTCTGCTCCTAAAGGTAAAACGTTCATACATAGCCATATTAGTAACTGACCTTTTTCTTCAAAGAAGAAAGCTGAGCCAAAAAACACATTGGAGGTATCTATGGAGTACCGTGCCAAAAACCGACAACGATGATTGTCCTTCACAATCTGTTCCTGACCAGCACTAACTTTTAACATAAGGATAGCATCACTTCAATTTCCTACTACCGACAATGAGTCTAAAATGGTCAAAGAGACTGTTTTCTATCGATAGAGAGTACCAATGATAGTCGTTTCCTCTAAAACTTAGTGGGCTCTGATCATGCGTTAGTCTGTGTACACCCCACAAATAAGTGGACATAAACCAAGCAGCGGCAGAGCTCTTAAATGACTAATGCAAAACAAGTGGGGACAACAAAACGTGAAGGGTCAGACTTTAAGTGTTGGTGATAATTCACTGACCATGTCAAGTAAGACATGGCCCTGATAGGCTGATGCAGACAATTGGTCACCACGAGCTATAAGAGAGCGATCCTTGGTGGCATAATCTTGACTGAAGTATCTGAGATCCTAGGGTCCATAAGTGGGGTTCAGGAAGAAGACACCTGTAAGAGCCAGGGAAGTTTTAAAATGGCAAGACCGTATTGAAATGCTAACTGGCATCTAACACTTGACATCTTTCTTAACCTTAAGTGGTAACAACGAATAGTATCCGTCTAGCACCACCTTCCTTATTTAACATTATTGTAAATGCAGACTTGCTACCAAGTGAGCAAACAGACGGCATAGTCCATTAGAGGGAAGACCTTGGAAAAATTAAGCCTTCGGAATACTAAGCATAAGTTGGCATGGAACTCACCCCTATCAGATGCAAAATGATGCTGCAGAATCAGTCTGCACCGCCTTTTAGTCTAGGGATATAAAGTGAAATGACTGAATGTGCTGATCACTTCACCTATGTGGCAAATCGCATCAGTCTCAGGAGACCGGTTGCTAACGAAATCTCAGTGTAAATACAGAAGACTCGTTTAACACCTGCCAACTTCATGACGTCTGGTACTGATGTGGTAATCAGTGCGTACTAACCAGCAGCGTACTTTGTCCTACACTGTAGCTGCAGCCACTGAAAAGAGACATTTAAAAGTCAAAGGTTTCCAAAACAGATGACCTTGTTTAACCGCTCATATCAGACGTAAAAGCATAGCACTCAAGTCATAAGTGTTAAACGCAGGGTGATTGGTAAGGAGAGTTTGTAGCTGTGGAGCAATATCTACTGAAGTAGCTAGGAAACGTGCTGCAGAACTCCAAGTTAAGAATCATTAGATTAGAAAAAAATGAGCGGACTGACTACAACACGGTATGAACAAATGAAGACACAGTACGCGTTATGTATGCCTAGTCATCGCCTTCCTCGACGGGTAGTGTTAGCTGACACAGGGTCAGGCTAGAAAAGAGCTAGCGGCAGTCAAAACAAAACATGGCTTCATCAGTCAATGAAATCTACAACAATTAGTTTAAGCCAGTCAGCCACGTAGGAAGATGTAGAATTCCTGGTTGGGTTCTTCGCGACGGTAAACACCAATGACTGGAGACGATTGGTGATATGGCTCAAAATCGTTCTCAATGGCGCAGATGCATCCACTCCTTGTGACTTACAATACCCAATGAAACTATATTGTTCTTCGTTATTACTATTCCTCTTGTCTCATAACCCTGTTTACTGTCTCTACTTTGCATCTCTTCTACTTTCTTGCTTTGTGTGCTAGACGGGATGTGGCAACTTGAACTGCTGCACAACGGTGCAAAGTTCTATGTTGAAACAAACAGATAGAATGTCAGTTCAAGACACATAAATGAAAGTTGGTTGTCTGGCTAGGGTTATTGGGATGCTAAAGCCTAGTGGGTGGAAACTGTGGGTGACCAGACGCAAAATTGTGCACGGTAGCACAGATGCATCTTATCTATTTCCGGAACTTAGAGTTTCACTAACTTAATTGTATTTTCTGTCACACCCATGCTTGTCTATTTGAATATCATTCAATAAGACAGTATCTGTTTGTCTTTTTTGAGATTAACAGTACCCAGTTACATCCACTAGCCCACGTCGTCTGGCACCATAACATACATGTAGTCAGATTTAAAAAAGTTCAACTTTAAATTACACCGCTTAAAACTGAGTGGCTTGGTGGCTTCCGCATTACAACTACACTGAACCTAATAATAGTGAGATAGTATGAAACCTGAATATAAATAGCGGTGTAAACTAATGAGCTGGTCATGACAAACCAAATTGTAGGATAAAAGTTTGGTTGGAAACTATATCAAATCAAGGTCAACTATTACACAAAATCCTGCTTTAAATAATGCATGAACCCCTGAAAAAATATGAATTTGATACAAATAAGTTGATTGCACTGCTTTCACTAGGAAAAAATTGGTTTATATGATAATGAAAACGCAGCTAAACAGTTTAGACGCTGGACGATCAGCCTTGTCACATACATACTGAAAGAACGCACATAAGCGAAATAACCTAACAAAGCTGATTAAAATTTTTCAAGGGGAGAATGAACATTTAAGGAAAAAAATACTTGAAACCTACTTACATATTTCCTTATCTCCCGAACAAGTGTATAGAAAGCATCCTCGACACCTTGTCTAGTTTTTGCAGAAGTCTCGACGTATGGAATATTATATGAGTTAGCTGACATCTTTGCTTCGTTTGTACATACACTTCGGTTCGTGAGATCGACTTTGTTTCCAACAACTGAAACGAAATTTGAAAGAGAAAAAACATCAACTTACGAACCATTGGGACTTCATCAGCATCTTTGACTCTTTTGATTTGCTCTCGGTACTGATTTATGTCTTCATAGCTTTTTAAATTATTCACAGCGAATACACATAAAAACCCTTCCCCCGTCCGCATATACTGATCTCGCATTGCACTGTTAAAAGTATATTTTCATACAATAAATTACCTGTATTCTTCCTGGCCAGCAGTATCCAGTATGTCTAGTAGACATATTTCCCCATCGATAACTACTTGCTTTCTGTATGAATCCTCTAATAAAACTTATATGAGAAATCCATTTAAAATATACCTATAGTTGGGTCATATTCCTCAACAAAACTAATTTACAGTTAATAAGTAGAATGGAACTTACTGATTCTGAATAAGCTGGATCGTAAGAGCACTTTTTCCAACTCCACCAGCTAAATATAAAGCAATCTAAGTTGAAAAAGACCATCTTACCCCCAACTACAACCAATTTATACTCCGTCATACGAAAATAGCTCAGCACGTAAAGCCGACGCTATAGGCTGAGATGGCCTTGAAGTGTGCAACTAAACAATCTGACTTACATGTAAGCAATAAATTTTAAAATGGCCTTATTCTACCATTTCAAATATATTGCCTCCAATAAATATTTCCGAAATCTCGCCCATGTTTTTATGATACTTAAGTGACCATGTCAAAATTCCTATCGCTATTTTCAAAAATAGCTCTAGCAGTGAGTAATTCCCCCAAATTATTAACCACAGCATTCGTCACTGAACATCGGAAGCTGACCATCACTGTTTAAGTCTATTTGTTTAGCTGAAGACCTCCGGTCAAGCATCGACGCCACTTGGCGTGCCATCGTGTTACGTTCGTTCGTTCGTGCACGATCCCTAGCTAGTTAAGCAATCATCTCGCACTCCGATTCGGTCCCGAAATATAACTCATAATTCGGTCGATCAATTCCTGTGTTTTGCTTCACCTTCGGTCTACGCGGAACGAGTACGATAGAAGTGGTGGGTATTAGATCTTGCGTTAGTATACTTCGTACTATCCGTGAACGTAAACACTCTCAGCCTCTTAATAGCTCATAAATGCAACCAACTATTAAGTGTCAGAAAGCTAGTTGGGTTGGGTGTATATAGTGAAAATGATCCTCTTTTGGCGAATTCATGAGACTTCGCGAGTCTGAGTACAGGGAACAGTCTTACTCAACATGCAAATACTAGTATTCTGGTATCTAACTTTAGACCAAATAAATCTACCTGTAAGCAATCTTGTTTTTGTCATTCGTGGGAAAAATATAAAGAAAATGAAGAAAGAGAATCATCCTTCTTATGAAAACACATCATACGCAGGCGACTGAGGATACATAATTGACAGAGACTTTGTATCAATATGCGGAATGTGTAACAGCATGATTGTACAGTTTTTTGTTAGATGCTCAAAATGGAAACGTACATAACTTTTGTTTAGAACGATTCAATGTAAAATGTGCATAGCTTTGAAGTGAAATCCAAAATACAGCGTGCTGCTTTCCGCCTCGTCCTCTCACTGGTCCACACTGTCTACTTGCCTCACTACTAACCGTGTTTTATTCTCTTGCTTTTGGAGGGATCTCTCGTTTTCATCCGAAAACTATTTTACAACCAGTGCACAGCTTCTATTGGTAGACATGATGCTAGCAGTGAACGCTTCCATGGATTATATTAATAATTTGCAGCAGCGAACTTTAACTGTATCACCAAGTAGCCAATAATTTCTATAACTTGTTACCTGTATTTTTTATAATATACTGTTAAAATATTATTGCATTACCTTAGATTTTTATTCTAATATTTATTCCGTTACGGAGCTGTTTGTTAAGTTCCTTACAAATTATTGGTGAGCCCGGCTGAACATTTTTAGTTTTATAAACTTATGTTGCTATCATTTTTATTTTTGACTGCACACTTTAAATATTTATGTATCTGTGTGTCTGTTTATCCACATAATACTCATGTCTTCAACTACCCGTTCAGTTACTGCATCTGGAACTAATGAGGAAACACAAGACTCAGGAATAAATGCAACAGTCGACCTCCGTCTGCCTCCGTTTGGTTTGACTGAGCCTAGGATTTGGTCCGCTATCACTTAACCCCTTTTCGCTGCCCCAGGTATTAAGCAACGTTGCAAAGTATGGATGCGTCTTAGCTGCACTACCGACAGGGTTACTCAAAGACTTTACTGACCCAGTCAACAGTGCTCCTGAAGACCACCAATACGATCGCATCAAAGAAGTGTTGATCCAAAGAAGCAGTGTCCCTGACTTGAAAAGGATCCAGAAATTACTCACTGAGTGTGAGTTAGGTTCAAGGGTGACGTCTCAGCTCCTCAAGAATATGCGTCGACTGATTAATCCACATAAGGCCGACGAAGTGATCTTACGACAAATGTGTCTGCAACGACTACCACGGCATATCCAGCAGATTTTGACTATCTGCTACAAACTCATCAACCTAAATGAACTAAGTGAGCCTGCAGACATTTTAGACGTAATAACTGACACCAGTGTCTACAAAGTATCAACGCTTAATGAGTTACCAGTTCAGGTTGCGTCTACTGCGGACACACCAGTATTATCAGACCTTCCGGCCTTAGCAAACAATGTGGAAAAGTTAGCAACTGAACTGTCCACTCTATGAGCACGATGTGATAGACCACAGTCCAGGTCGGTGCAGTCTCGAAGTTCTTTTTCAAGGTGGCCAACCAGGACATCTCCTAATACCTGAGATATTTGCCGTCTTCATGGACAGTTTGAACATCGAGTCATTCGATCTGCAAGACCGTGCAATTTCCGTAGTAGTGACTCGGTTCAGGGAAACTCCCCAGTCAGACAGTGATGGCTGTTACTAGTAATCACTCAAGTCACATTTTCTGTGTGGGGGATAAAACCACAAGCACATTATTTCTTGCCTGCATAAGAGCCGAAGTTAGTTTAACACGCCCTTCACTATTCGGGCGACTTTCCAACACAGCAGAGAAACTTTCACTTCGATCAGCTAACCAGACGAGCACACAGACTAACGGCGAATAGTCACTTACCTTGGAACTTGGTTTATGCCTTTGTTTTCGATGGATTTTCATGGTAGCTGATGTTCGTCGTGCTATACTCGGGCTAGTTTTTTAGGTAATTTCGATCTTTCGGTTGATGTCAACCAGAAAAAACTGATTGATAACTGCACCCAGCTTCAAATCCATGGAATCATCTCAAAATCCTCCGCTTGTAATATTTGCATAGAAAAGCCTGATGATTGCATGTTTTCTGCATTATTGCATCATTTTCCTGAAATTCTAAAGCCGTCTTATAATACCGAAGACTTTCCTCATTCCGTCACACATAAAACCATCACAACTGGTCAACCTATCCTAGTACATCCTCGTCGACTACCATTTGAGAAACTGGTGGCAGTTAAAGCTGAATCTGAACACATGATGCAACCGGGTGTCCGACCCCCCATAGTCCTTGGTCCTCACCTTTACATATAGTACCAAACTGGAGATATGGCACCAAAGCCCGAGCAAGATCGAAGACCATGCGGCGATTACCGACACTTGAATAATGCTACCACACATCGTTATCCCATTCCCCACTAGCATAGCTTCTCTCTGACATTGCATGGTAAAACTGTTTTCTCCAAAGTGGATTTGGCCACAGCTTATCGCCAGATACCAGCCGCTCCACAGGACATTGAAAAGACTGCCACTATAACACATAATACACAAGTAAAAGATCACAAAATGCTCTGTATAAACATTTATTATAGAAATTCGGGTAAATAAATACCTAAGGAATTTTGTAACCAATATGTAGACAGTTGGTGGGGATTATCATGTAGCTGAACATGTTAAAAGGCGGAGAATATTGTTTATTAACATCCTGAGACACCAGTAGGATGAAAACTCACGATAAGTTGCAACGATAGTAAATTGTGCATCCGATGTTCCATTTGTTCCATAATTCATCGATACGAAGTCTGACCAATATTTCTAACTCTTCTGAAGTTTCATATGTACGTTTTTCCTCTGAGCTTCCATTTCACGGCAACCTGTTTTTCAGCACTATTTGAAAACTTACAAGAACAATTGCAGGTTACGTCTAACATTTCACGTCCATATAATTATGCGACTATATTTCTAACTAACATTTTCAGCGTTCGTGTAAGCAGAAGCTAATTTAGCGACCTTCATGTGTAAGTTTTATTGGCTTAAAGTCACATTACGATCTGACATCAGTAAGAGAACTATTGAAAACTAGGCAGTACTGGGCAACCATATCATCCTAATTTGGGACGCTTCAGCAGCACTGTCCTTGAAACTACCATGGGTTAAAAAGTGACCATTCTCTTCTATTCTTGGGGACACGATTCTCCTGGAAGTATCTGACATTTGTGTTTGGTTCATTTTTCGTCGCCCATTACATATTTTATAAATATGAAACCTTGGACACTTAAGGACTCTTGACGTCACTAGTGAGCGTTTGTGTTTTGCCATAAATCAGATGACCTTCTCTGCAGATTAAACGATCCTGGATACTTTAGAGTGTGCGATAACAGAACGATCCCCCACGTTTCAGACCGAATGGACGGAAACAGTGGAGGACATTGCAGAGGACAGATGGAGACCCTCGATTTCTGAGCTGAAATGGCTTGCGTCAGCTCGACCAAATATCTAACTGGGCAGATTCGGAAAACCTGTGACAAGCATTTAGCAAACGAATAATCAGATAGCTCACTCCAGATGGCGGTCAGTACCCACTGTGACTGAAGTGTCTACCGAATCTAATCATGACGGACACCATACGACTTCTGGGGTTGTCATTAGGGTGACCAATAATTATCTTCTCAGCGGCTAGTGGCAGCAAGGCGGTGAATTCAGTTAATGAAGCTTCTGGAGTCCATTGACTTTATGGGGATGCACGTATAGCCACTGACTAGGCTACTGCCATGAAGGATCCCCAACAGAGTTTGCCAGGAACGTACATCAAATGGTTACCCCTCACAAACACGCCTTGGGGACGACTACACTGTGGCAAAGCTTCATCCTTCATTGGGTGGGAGGCCATTCGGTGACGCATCAGGTTTTCTTTGGTGTCAGCAGAGTGATATCTTGCAAGAGTTATGGAAATCGTCACCCGCACGGATTGATTAGTTACTGTGTTGATGGATGGCTTAAGCAATCAGATAGTTTGGTTCTCTTTAGGCAAACGGTGATTTTACCCTGTCATAATTTTGTAACACTTGACCATTCAGCACTACCATCATGTCGAGGGACACATGGGCACGCCACAGGTGTTAGCCACCACACGTAAACAATATCGGATATATAAAGGCAGTAGAGGATTTTGACAGGTGGTATGTAAGTGCACAAAGTGCAGACTCCTAGAGACCTACTTATTAGGCTAATGACGGTATCCCTCCCAGATGGTTGAGAGACACACCGTTGGTAGTTCGTAAAAATTCCCTTTTTGGACTGTTGGTCTCCTATCTAATAGGGCACGATGAAAACAAACATGGGGATGTATTTATATGCCTTCGAACACGTTTTGTGCACGCAAAGATAGGCTCCAGACGAAATCATAATGCTCCCACAGAGGCTTTGGCGCCCATTATGGGAGATGCAGAGTGAGGCTATGTTCTATAACGATGTGTTTTCGCCTATACAGACGATCTAATCGCTCAGTATTGTGAAAATAGATTATATTTGACTAGTTTTAGGCTTCTGTAGCCGAAAAATGCAAAATTTTTCTGCATTGTGTTCGTAGTAATGCGTAAAATTGTCATGACAGCCTAGACGAATTACTGATGAAAAAAGTCATCATTTTGAAGAAATATTGCATAAAAAGTATAATATTAGGGTTTTAAAGCATTGAGGCATTGGTTTTTGTGAGTTGTCTTAAATCTTAAGGTTGTAAATTGACTGCAGGTAATGGCTGTTGTCATCCCAGTTATTCCATGAGAATCGTGCATTTGAAAGAGAAATAGCCTACAGACATAAGTTAGATGTGTGTTTTGAGGATGTTAGACACTTCTTTTATCATCTGTGATGAATGAAATATTCCATAACACATGGAAGAGATCATGCGATGTATGAGACAGGCTGCTGCATTTCCTGGTGATTATATCTACTTTGATGAAGTTCCCATTTAAAATTGCTTAGGCGAAGATATGATACTAGTTTAATTGACATTTGCACTTGGAATGTCAGAAGGCTTTAATTGTTCATTGTTAAAAATGGCATCAGATTATGTTTATATCAGTGTGCATCAGGTCACGAAAAATAGTGTAGGTGGTCCTCATGAAATGTCGGACTACTTAAAATTGGTATCGACTTTCTGTCGATTAGTAGCTAGGAGGTGTGTCCTACAAGTACTGCACCTGTTACATAAGTTATCCCAGTCTTAACAATTGTTCGTGTTCAGATCACTAAGATATTCTGAGATCCTTAATGAATTACTTGTGGCTATGAAGGATATGGAAGAAGCACTTATGGCTTATATGTTTAAATCATTTATTGTGAAAGAAGTTATCTGTAGGGATTATGTGATGTTCAGGTTACGATGCTTGAGGGTATGTAGTGACTGCATGCTTCTGTGCGTGAAGGAAAAGTTGGTTAAAATGAAGATGTGATGAAGTTTTCCGTACAGTGTTCATTGTGAATGGTTTACAAGTTAACACTTATTATTTGCTTGCTGCTATACTGTATAAGACGAACAATCTCTATGTGGCATTAAAAACTACAGAAGAATGATGTCATCACCAAAGAATGAAAAAGGAAAATGAACCTTTTTCAGCAAAGGTATGGAAATGTAAATCGTTTAACTTTAACATTACTTCTTCCTTACTTCAGCGATTTAAAAACATATACTTTTGTTCACTTATTTACAGATATCCGGCGATGTCAGTCAAATTGGTCACAGCAATTCAACATGGGCGAAATAATTACGAAAAACATTTGTGTAAAGACATTTGCTTATTTTTTTCATTAAATAGATTTAACATCCTGCTAACAATACTTTTCTTATTCTATCTGAGTGAAACTAAGTTTTTTTGCATGACGATGCAGATGTCAGACTTATCAATGATAATTGATGATTTATTTGACTGCATAATTAAACGCAAGCGAAATGTTACTACGACTGCTACAGCTCAACCTACTTATTTATTCGTTATGTGTAAACTTAATTTTACAGTATACGTTAACACCTGTTATCATAGGGACTGCCATAACGCTTTAATTTAAATACTAGTAATACACTGATTTAGAATACACCTAACCGTATACGAACTGGAACTGCAATGCAGTGCCTAAGTTCTACCTATTGTTGTCATTGTTCCCTACAGACTCGCATATGACTATGAGACGTTTTCACGTAACTTAAGGTCCACTAAACTACTTATAATTCACCACGCATATCGGTCGATAGTGTTCCTACAGAATTACACTTAAGTATAGTAACGAGTTCAAGTCTTAGGGAGCACCGGTCTAGCATACCGTGCTCACAAAGCGAACACATGAATTGAAAGACAACAAGATTTATATGAAAAGTTCATATTTATTATAATACAACATTAGTTTGTTTACATATTAAGAAAATGGTCCATTTGTGCGATTACTTCTCCCGCTTTGAGATGCGCACGAGTCGCGAGACCATGTCCATCGCTGACACTTATGCAGCACATGATTAACTACAAAAGGTGGAAGAGTAAACAAAAATAGAATTATGCACACAATATTACAGGATAAATAATGCTCTCACTCGCACTGCCTACCCGCAATAAACTAAAAAGGCTTTGTCAATTAGTATCCATCTGTCTCGCGACTGTTTCAATATAATCCGTAGAAAAAGCAATATTGAAATACATCACTGAGCAATATCCACCGATAAAATGCTACACGCATAACCTAAAATCGAGAAAAGCCAAAGAACTCACGGGTTCCTTGACATCGCCAGCAATAAACCGAGTGTATGATAAACCGAGCCTTGTACATGCACAAAATAAGTAAAAGAAAACGTTAGAATACTCAAATTTTACATTTATTTTCATCAAATATGCTCGTAAACAACGCATGCCTCAACCACACAAACCTGCACACGACATCACCTAACAAGGACAAATTAAATATCAAATTAGCCACCACTGTTCCAGCCAATGAAAGACGAGAAAACCTGAGGCGCGGAAATTTTAACACATCATATCCTATATCCTCACCCCTCTTGATGGATGAGGATAAAGGCCATCGTGTTGTATTTTCGCGCATAGTATGGGTTATCCTATTCATGCCTACAGAGACGTTATAAGCACTCATTTTGTGAAGATAGGATCTAATTAAGTGGTTTTATACTTCTGTTGCCGAAAAAAGCGATATTTTCATGTATTGTGTTCGTATTAATGCGAAATAGTGTCTTGATATCCCGGACGAATTATTGCAAAGAAAGGCATGCACCTAAGAAATTATGCATAGAAAGGACTATTATTTTTATTTGAGAGCCTTAAAGCTTTGTTATTCGCAAGTCGTTTAAGATTTTCAGGCTGTAAATTGACTACAGGCAATGGTTGTTGTCATAGCAGTTGCTCCATGAGATAAGCCTAATAAGCCCACATACATAAGTTAGATATCTGCTTTGAGGAGCGCAAACATTTTTATTTTCATCCATGATGAGTGCAGTCCTTCATAACCCATCGAAGAAATCATACAATGAATGAGACAATTGGCTGAATTTTACGGAGCTTATATTCATTTTTATGGAGTATATGGTCGAAATTGTTTTGTCAAAGATGTGATACTTGTGCAATTCACATTGTTTCATGGCATTTTGGAAGGCCGTAACTGTTTACTGCATCAAATGGCATCAGCCTATCTTGATATCAGTGCACTTTGAGGCAAGAAGAGTACTATGAATGGTACTTCAGTAGTGTAACACTGCTTACAGTTAGTAATAATATATTTATTCCTATTCATATATTCATATTTATTCCTATCTATATAGGAATACATTGGTTGTATTATTTAAATTACGCAAATCTAGTTTATGGTGAATTCATATGGTTTCTGGCCTTTTCGACCCTAGTTCATGGGAAAAACCTGCTGGCTGGTCATTCAGTGGAGCCCATTAAGAAATACAATGGATAGTCCTTATGCAACATAGAACTGCTCACGCTTAGTTTTGCCTTGCTGTCGAAAAATAATTTGCAGCTGGATCCTACCAATAGTACACCTGTTACGTAAGTCACGTAAGTCCAAATAATAATTCATTTTCAGATCACTAGGGTATTCTGAGCTCTTTCAGTGGTTTGGACTAACACTAAGGACTTGTATAAGGAGACTGGGGACATTCTAATAACATATGAGGGATTCTGACCTTGTATAGCCATTACTTACTCCAATATCTGTAACAAAATTTCGAATCACGTGTTTTTCCCACGGGATCATCTAATCGCTTGCTGAGGGTCATTTTGCTGGTAGTTCGCCAGTGTCATTATATTTCGCTCCAGCCAAAAATTCTGTAGAATATCTACAATTCATGTCCTCGTCCTACATACTTGTTTTTCCAATATGGGACAGTTTAGAGCTGAGTCATCCACAGTACTTTCATAGTACTGGGACAGCCGTCAATGTGTGGGAAATTAAACATAACTCAAAATTTTGCTGGGTACGTGGCAACTGCCGGCGTAACCACCACAAAATTTGATTCAACAGTGAACTTATGTTGGGTAAAAGATAATGATCAGATAGATGTACATCGTACACGAAAACCAGTCTCAACCTAGTGGGTTTGTCAGTCGTTTGGCCAGTGAAAATTAACAGCAAAAATCAAACATATGGTTTAGGACTATTCCAAGCAAGTGAGATGCTATTTTAACTAGCTGCACAGTCTCCGTTGAAACTGAGTATCATACTGCCAACCAACGATTTCACGTAATTAACTGCTACATAGTTCTTGCTTCTGATCATACTCCGGCGCCCCATCAACTTAGTGTCACCCAAATGGTACACACTGATTTTCCATCTCCGCGTCAAATGTTATTTCTCAAGGGCTATTTTGCCATTTATGTGTGAGTTTGTGACTGAGAATGAGGAAGCACAGACAAAATTAGAGAATAGATACTCGGAGAAAACAAAGTGCATAAGACGGAATAATTTCACATGATAGCGACCTCCCATTTATACTGAAAAAGTTTTCTTATCCGTCACGGGTGATTTTACATTTATTCCGAACCACTTTTTGTAAATGAGGACATCGAAATCATTATGTATTATTTCACTAACCAATGATCACTGGAATACTGATTTTCCAATGATTCTACAGTCATTTGGTGCAACCGTTAGGCGTCCTAACCAACAACAAAATTAGGAGAATTAGATGTAGTCGCATATATTTTCGTAAATCCATTCAAGGTCACCTGGCCGGTAATCTGCTTGTTTTCTATATTTGAGACCTGATTGAAAAAGGTCATCTTGCTTCTCCGCTCTACCCTGCGTGCTTGACCTGTATAATTGCTTGTGTTGTTCTATTACATAGCATACCTATGTTTTCCCAGGTCACTGGTGCGTTCCCTCCCCTGGATATCCATTTATTAACTTCGTAGAAATATAACCAGTATAAATCAGTCCTTAAAGATCGAATTTACAAGATACATTTTCAGACTATTCAGATAAACGGGAGTACATCCATTCAACTTCATTCATCATCCCACATAGCTGACTGGCTAAGCGACAGGCCTTTTGTCGCGGAACAACCATATCTGTGAATAGAAAAAGTGTTATTATTGTGCTAATATGTAAAAAAGGACATTCATTTAAAATTAAAACGACATTCAACAAACATACCACTTTTCTTGTTTCACCAAATACCCTCACTTAAATACAGGTGTGTTATATAAATTCGTCGTAACAGTTGCGCGCTACGTATCAGTCATCGCTTGTGTGGGTAAGTGTCTTTGTGTTGTTCGTAGTTATCAAATGATTGTATCTGTCCACTCAGTGTACCATTTGTGAAATTAGATTCAGTTACACTAGATGTTTTTAGGGATATTTAGGTGAGTTGTGTAACCGTATCCAAGTAAGGTACCTTCATGTGAAGTATAACCAGTCTTTTTCAGAAGTGTTGGCACCCTAGTGGGTTTATTTACATTCAGAAAGTTCTTTAATTTGCATTAGATCTAAAAATGAGGAGCTTATATGCTCTCAAATTGACAATTAAAGCTATTCGGAATCGAATTGAGCATCCTGCATTACGTTATGGTGAGATAAATTTTTCGTAGATTTGAAATAACTATTTTGAAATAACCTAGTTAAGGCTAAGGCCTGATTGAGAGATGACTAGTTCTTAATAAGTCTTCTGGTAACTGGGGTACAAAACAGTTTTTACAGTAGATTGGAAGTTATTTCCCTAGGAATAACCGGGAGATGTCGATAGGCTTTCCCGTCTCACCCCACCAATGTGGCTACTTTTATCTTCTGTTCGCCATATTATTACTTCACATTACTGTTCTGACAAAACTCAACCATACCCTACTTAGCTCGTGTTCTGTGTGATTAAGAAAGCATTAGGCGTGACACCTATAATTCTTTAAATAGTCAGTAGTACAACTGGATCTCGTCTTTCCAACCCACATCATCAATATGTACAACATTTTCTTTCTTTCTTTTCCTTTTCTCTCTCTTCTTTTTCCGTTATGTGCTGCTTTGTCTCTTTCTCTCGCTTACGCCTGTTAATAAGACAGCTCCCACTTTTCTAACACTTTCAAACACTGTTTCAGCTTTACCTTTGCTACCGCCATGCCAATGTAATGTTATAATAATGAACTGAGATTTCCTTAATCTATGTAGAATTCTATTTATTGATAATGTACTAACTGGATGCAATACTGTAGTAAAAATGCTGAGAATTCCATTCTGTATCACAAGTACTGTTTTGGAATAAAGCAAATTGTTATTATTATTATTATTTTGAAGAGAGAAAGAACGAACATGTTTGCAGGATAATACGAGCTCGTTTTATTTCGTGGATTCTCATCAACTGCATACATCCTAAACAAAATCAAATTATAGGTTTCAAGAAAGTTGTGGAACATACTTTTTCACAAATACTTTGAGTTATAGATAGAAGGCATAAGGAACATAATTCCAGAATTTGATGTAGGTAGACAGATTATTCGGTGTCAAAAAACAACTATTTATATATAGTGGAATTAGATAAGAGGGGTAAGAGTTCAGATTTCTATTGGAAAACAACACAGATTGGTTAGAGGCATATTACAGGGTCAGGGTCAGAGAAACCCACGGCTACTACGCTTCGCAGAAGCCATTGCTATCAAGAGATTTCGACCAGACCTTTGTATACAGAAAGATAGTGTGATTAATCTTTCACTACCTTGGTAACCCTAACTCTATTTTATTTTATTTTTGTTTTGCCTTTCTGTCAGTATGCCTGTGTGGTTGTCGTGTTACGTAACATTCTATTCAATTTTGACCTTCAAGTTTCTAAATCTACTCAATTGTTTGTCTGTTTAAGTTAATAATGTTACTTCACTATTCACCCCCACCCTCTTAAACTCTCCACCACAAGATGTGTAAATTTACTTTGTTCTCTGACCATGACCCTGTAATATGCCTCTAACCAATCTGTGTTGTTTTCCAATAGAAATCTGAACTCTTACCCCTCTTATCTAATTCCACTATATATAAATAGTTGTTTTTTGACACCGAATAATCTGTCTACCTACATCAAATTCTGGAATTATGTTCCTTATGCCTTCTATCTATAACTCAAAGTATTTGTGAAAAAGTATGTTCCACAACTTTCTTGAAACCTATAATTTGATTTTGTTTAGGATGTATGCAGTTGATGAGAATCCACGAAATAAAACGAGCTCGTTCGTTCTTTCTCTCTTCAAACTAATAAAGGGAACCGGTTGCATGAAATTATTATTATTATTATCGATGTTGTCTTATGTGGCCATTTCAATTGATGACTTATTCGACTGCCTTAGCCCATCTGAAGTCATGCATGTTATACGAGAACCCCTCAGCAATTCCACTACGGGTGGTTTGTTTCAGAGACCTATGCCTCAAAACACTAATTCTTCTCTGCATCTTCAGATATCATATTTTCCAACCATAAGGCACCTGCTAACTAATTTTTTATAGATGGTCAGATTTCTTGATGTGTCAGTTTTATGGTATCATATGGTAGTGCTTTTAGCAAGTAGCTTGCATAAATAGGTTGTTTGAAATACTTCACAAATTGTCTCGTTACCTTGGGAACAAACTAATCGTAGGATATCATCCTAAAAGCTTCAAGTGTTTCTAGGTTGACGAACGCATGCACATTTTCTGAAGATGGTTTATTAACGTTCGTACTTGGCTGGTATATGCAGTGGACATACTGTGGATCGATCATAGTGTTTCGCGATAGCCCTATTTAGCTCTTGGGATTCGGTCAGCGCATCAGCCCTCTCACGAAATACGATGATTTCGTTTCACTTTGTGTGGTGATACTGTACCAGGTTTACAAATAAGTAGATAAACAGTAAATTCTGAGGCAGCGTGCCATTCCTTGTAAAGTAAATGAAAAAAATCCGCCAAAATTTTTAAAAGAAGTTTAAAGAAACAGTGAAACTTGATGTCATTGTTGTATAATACTTAAAAATCCAGTTTGATATACGTGTCTCATGTGAATAAAACTTAACCTTCGAATACCCCTATTCAAAAAGTCAAATGTGTACTTCAAGCAAGGATAAAAAGTGCTAGCAATTAGCATGTATATCTAACAAAGAAAACGTATTTTGTACTTAATTCCGGAAGAAGCTTGGAATTCGTCTTGTCCTCTAAGTCCCCCGCTCTTTGACTATAACCTAATGCTACGTAACTCATGGATCTTAACACTAAAAATCTGGTAGATCAGTTCATTTCTCTATTGTTTACCTTGTGGAATACTTGTAAAACACGATCCTTAAAGATAAATGGCTTAAGGGAGCGCTAAGTATTTAGTGGTCATTGCTTTTGTATCGTTGGCGTTTGATAACATCATGTGAGCAATTAATGAGTCAGCCATAAAGTTTTAGGTAAAGCTAAGATGCTTTAAGTGCTTGAGCATATCTACCACAACAATAAATATATTATCTAAACTATTAGATTTCGAGAAAGCTAGCGATGGTCAGTCAAGATATAATATCAGTCGATTAGGTCTCTGACTGTGCATCCAAGCAAGAAATAATAGGCTCTCCTCATTTTTGTGAAACAACTCAGACTCATGGCCGGTGATTAGTTACAGTAGTCTGTCTATCTGTCTGTTTTCGACATAGAACTTTGCACTGATGTGCGGCAGTTCAAGTCGCCACACTCCATGTAGCACACAAAGGAAGAGAAGAAAAAAGGAGAAATGCATAATATAGACAGTAAACAGAGGTGTGAGACAAAGGAGTAGTAATAACGAAGAACGAACAGTTTCATCGGAAATCATAAGTCACAAGGAGTGGATGCATCTGCGTCACTGAGAACGATTTTGAGCCATGTCACCAATTGTTTCCTCTCTAATCCACACTCCAAAGTGCACGCAAAACCTCTAGTTACAGTAGTGCAATTATGTTAGCGTTTTTACCATGTATCTATTCCGTACGTCCTCTGTTTATCCTACTGTTACTTACACTTAGTGACCTTAATACCTTTGCCTCACTTTTATCATCTCCAAAAGTAATGAATCACTACTGTAACAACTTGTACTGTTAAGTGATAGTGGTAGATCCTGCGCTAAACACAAGGCGTCCCTCAATATATTTAAATTCTTTCTGTTTGAATACTGTTGTTCTTATTAGCTTGATATGAATAGTGCACTAAACGTTCACTCATAAAGGTAAACTTCAGTTTTGGTTTTAATAGTGTCAGTTTTCAAGATGTTTCACCTGTTGGTTCTACTGTGTAGATGTGAATAGTAATGCAATGATAATGTATAAACTGTACGCTAACAAATTTCATTTTCATTAATTTGGTTTAGAGAATATTTACTACTCAGTGCAGTATGTGCTTAAATGATTTAACTAAGCAACATACTCCTAATTTGAAGCAAATTGTATTTTACTTAAAATTACCACTTATTTACCGATAACTTTAACAGTCTGTTTTTTGAATAGTTTCCAGAATGTCCCAAGTTGGTGATCCATCTTCCAATTCTAATTCAAACAATCACGTTACGGAAAAATTGAATATTGACTGGAAAATAAATTTCAATACTCAAACAATCAGAGGCTCAGTAAATCTTTTTCTGAAGAAAGTGTGCTCAAGCGACTTGAACCCAAACATTGTATGTTGCTTTCAGTTTATATTTTATTAATTAATTGTCTCTCACCTGCTATGTGTTTGGCAGTTATTTTGTGAAGTCGCTTGTACTGAACAAGTTAGTATTTCACACATACATATACTAACCTGATCTTCAGTCAATCTGTTTGGTAAATTGTAAATACTTGGCAGTTTTTGTTTGGAAATTAAAGTAAGACAGCATTTCTCGTAAATAAATACGGTTAGCGTTTTCATATAGTCAGAGTTAGGACTGCATTTCTCCGTGACTCTTACCAATTCTGATAAAAACACTTATTTTTCAAATCTGGATTGTAATCCTAACTAGCAAAGCATCATTACTAATCTCCGATACCGGTGCCCCATAGGCGGGACAAGCTTTAACATCAGTTCTGACATCTCTCGTTGCATGTGTATATAGTGTGCCTGAAATGGGTTCCGTTTACCACTACCTAAACAAGACGAGAAATGGAAAAGATCCTACTCTGTTCAAAAAAGATTTCATAAGTATTACTCCCGGACTTGCTATTAACCAATATTGAGGAGAGCTAACGGAGGATTGCAATCATCTTTTAGACGCACATCCTCAAATATAATTCTTCATTAGGTCAAGTACGTCTGCGCATAAGTGATTGCTATTACGTGTTAAACTATTTTGTACTCGTTTATAATTAAGTGAAAGTGAAGAATTCCTTCTTTATGCACCTCAGTGGTGCATTTAATTTGCCAGAGAACGACAGTGACCCACACCACTACCTAGAGAGTACAACCTAGTAAAATTTATTGGTTTTTTTAACCACTACTAGACTGGCTATTCCGGTTAGCTCTAATCACAGCTTGAAAACAAGCTCACCAAAATCCTTCATCCTAATAGTGAGCGGTAGTGGGTGCGGAAGAAAGAAATTTGCTTAAGGCAATACTTTGTGACGATTTTTACAAAGACGATGGTTATTGAGACTTACTAGAAAAAGTGGAATGCTTGTAACCTTTCAGTAAAGTTGGATGAACTATTAAATGGAACGCATTTAACACATGCATTTAAGCTTCAGTTACGTATCTTGTTGTATTGAATAATATGTTGATGCTAGTTTTCGAACTTTCTCACCTGGATTGTTACTAAGTAAACAATATCTAATCATTTGCCTCGAAGTTTTCAAGATTATCGAACTAAATTTACTCTTGGAAATAACTGCGGTAATGAATAACGTGTGAGGGCGCCAGAAATGGTTCCTTAAAACTCCTATCAGTCGTGCATCACTTCAGTTAATGAGAAAGGATGGATACTATCATCATCATCATCCAGAATAACAAGTTTTCGTTGCACTGTTATATTGGTTACTTGAAGAGACACACTTTTTTGCATGCTTCGTTAACTTACCTGTATTGTGCTGGTTGTTGCATGTTAAGTATATATCGTCTCAATATTTGCAGTGCTCTGTTTTTACAGCTGGTATCTTTTCTCACCGAGAATATTAAGTGGCTTTCAGTGTGTAACTGTCAGTGCTCCATTATTATTTTGTTTTTTTCATAATAAGAATATCATATTCTGTATATCGTCGATGAGACTAGCAGACGTAGGTTAGAGTTGTGTTCAAAATCTAATGCTTTCATAAGGCTTCTCAGTTGGGTTTTACAGACGCTTCCATTGAATATGAAATGTTACCTACTGCAGAAAGTGGAACGATTTAGAGATTATGCCTTAGCCAAAATTTCGAAAATGAAAATTCACAACAGCATCATCATATATTCTCTTTCAAGATAGCCTGTTTTTTCTGCTTTTAACTCTCACTACTACTTATCCTCCCGCTCTATTTCATAATGTTTCTATTATTAATTCATACATATACTAAGTTCCCATCTCAAATTGAAGTGAAATATCACAACTTGATGTCAATCGGTGGATGGTGACTGGCAGTAGAATCCAGGATGTGCATTTCATCCTATTTGGGAGTTGTCGCTGGATGTACCTGCATTCCCCAGTGAGTGATGGTGTTCCCACCGAGGTTCGAACCCAGTGCCCATAGTTTCAAACGCCACAGCGTCATCCATTAGACCACTTAGGCCACAACAGCCACCTCCTGTGCAACAAGTCTCATTACTCATTCGGTTCAATATGGATTTTCCCGTCGATTGGTTGTTCGAACCTCGGTGAGAACACCACCACTCACTAAGGAATGCAGGCACATTCAACTGACGAGTCCCGAATGAGGTGAAATGCGCATCCTGGGTTCCCTTGCTAGTCACCATCCACCAATTGAAATCAAGTTACATAACCAGACATCGTCGAAGCATCTGCATTAGGAGCCGATATGTCAACCTGAGACCGAGCACTTCGGTCCAATCAATCGATGGGAAAATCTAAATCCAACTAAATAAAAATATCACATTGTAAGCAATCAATTTCGATTTTTGAAAACGTTCATTTTCCTCTTTTTTGGCATTGTCATTTCATACATTATATCCTTAAATTTCAGCTTCTTGATACGAAAAATTTAAACATCCTCTCTGTACACATAAATTCTCAACCGGCGAAATGGCATCTGAGTCCAACTTCTTCACAAATATTTGGCTCCAGTTTAGAAATTGTGCCTAATACTTCTACGAATAGGTAAAATTATAAATTTTCATTATATTGTTTTAAGTTTTCACTTTATTTTAAGTGTGTTTGTATATGCACAAAATCACTGTCTAGTAATAGACGTAATAATGAATTAATCTATTCCACAAAGTGTAAACTTTTCACAGATAGTATCGACATTTTATGTGTAAATATCTGATAAATGTTAAAGGTCGCGCAAAGCTCTGCCAAAATAGTGGCAAATCGTACACTTACATTATTACAGCTTATGTTTAGTAACTTGATTAAGATTCCTCTAGATTGTCATATAGAGGTGAAAACAAGCTACCCGACTTATGCTAACTTGTACATTAGATGAAATAAACACATCGTGAATTCACTTTTGAATACGATTCTTATTGTCTGTGCGTTGATAAACCCAGTTGATATGCGTGGATTAGAATCATGTTAAACTGAATTGTATTCCATTTGATCTGAAGAAATTCTACTAAGAAAAATGTCCCTTACAATTTAGGATCCCTTTTCGGATGGATAGTTTTAGTGTTGACCTTGTTATGCAATCACATGGTGTTATTAGATGGCTGAAGTCAATCGGCAAGAAGCCTTGGACCTAGGTAAGCATAATTACGCCGATCATTGGTCGCGTCAATCAATTATGCACTACATAGACAAGCCCAGTAGAACTCATCTCGCATACAAGACCAAGCAAACGTTTTATTATAGGCAAGAGTAGCACGCGTAGCGACGCTATAATGACTATAGGCCCCTATAAACGAAGCCAGCAGCCACCAAATTCGTTATCCCTGCCGATCAATTTAGCATGCAAACAGCTCCTATGCGTCTGCCAAGATTATAGAAAACCATCCACAGTCATAAAAGTGAGCTATGAGAATAGTATAACTGACGCTCGTGTCGTCTATATAGCCTTGGACCTAGCTTTCGTGCTTCTTCACATTTATCAGCAAAGCGTATCTGCAAACTTGATTCAGAGTGCACTGTGTGATGGCCAGCCACCTAGCATGGTGACCACACTACAAACATGACTGGTAGAATTCAGTCTGCACTAAACAAAGAACCAGATGCATGACACTGGTTAATGTTCAATTAAAATAGTATGATTTGTACAACACAATCATAGCTGGAAATTTTGCAAGTTTTCTTGTGATACTGCAAACTTCCGGTTTACTGTTACCCTACTAAAGCTATTGACATTAAATAGCGAGTTGTTTTATTTTATTTTCTTATTTATCAAGAAATACAAAACTCAAAGTAATAAAATGAGTGAATTTTATCACTGGTATTAGTGTCACTAGTAGTCTTTTTTGTCACATATTTAGTATCCATTATTTATTGTAACTAAAGGAATTATTCATTCAAGCGTATTTTTTCAACAGAGAAATCCTGCATTCATTAGGTTTTGAGTTGGAGGAGATACAAGCAGATGAATCTATGAGTGACAAACTGATTATTGACTTATTAACATTAGACTTTCCATAAAGTGCATCAGTTCAAGTTGTTACATTTCAGGAAAGAAATATAATGAATATTTGGGAAAAACAATAACCAGATGATGGTCAGTAAGTACTGAAAGATGACAAGGAGTGAGTACATCTGCATCATTGTGAATAAACGACTTTCGTTCATGCCACCAAAAATCTCAAAACTGTCGGTTGTTAACACTCTGCGAACCCCAAACAAGCTGTATACATCTTATGTGACTCAAACCATGTTTTAATATGACTACCTGTAACTGGTTGAGAAGGGTGGTGACTTGGAATCCATACGTTACAAATATCTTAGCCACCTCAGTCAATGTAATTCCGAAACCCCATGGATTGACTTCTGCTTACGTAACAGTTCACGTCTAACCTCATTAATCCTGTTTATTATTATACCACCTTACACAGAAAATTCAAAACTGGCTAGTTTTCTCATGTCTCCCACTCCCAACTACAATGTGTGCACCTAATCCTGCTATTATTGACTAGCTCAAAGTGTATAAGACGAAGAGATAAGATGCAGTATCCCTTGGATTCTAATACAAGTTATCTAACTGTCTTATGGGCGTATAAGGCTTGGAGGATAAATAAAAACACTAGTCTTAGTTGCGTGATTAGGTAGGTTGGCAGAATAAAACTAAAACTATGTAAAGTGAATTTCAGATGTCTTATTTTATTATTGCTTATAAATAACGTGTTAGAGGAGCTTTTTAATTTTACTGTGATATATCATGATTAGTAAAAACATCTAGTCACAGCACTTTTTTGTTGCTCTAATTTCGTATAGCTTTGATGTTAAAATCGATTATGAAACTTCACCGAACTCCTCTGCTCTTCAGTGGTTAACGCCACAACTCACAGCTGATCGTCGTCAACCATTTATGTTCAGCCAGTGTCAAGCTATTCATGCTCGCAGTCTTCTTCCTTGTCAGGATACTCCAGTTGTGAAGTGTCCTTTTGAAGCTAAGGTAAATTATTTGTTTATTTTGTACTTTATCAACTTACAGTAAATTCTCTTATGTTCTCAATCAAATGGAACTGCTGTGTGAATTAACACTAAAGACTGTTATCTCAGCTACTGAAAATGCTCTACGCGTAATCTGCATGTAATTGTCTCTCTCACAAATTAGACTAATTAAATCTAAATAAATTGGAAGGGGTGAAGTTAAAGTATCATAGCCAAAGTCAAGGTCTGTCGAAGGTTGACCTTCAAGAACCTATCAGACACAGGGAATGCTATGTAATGTCATTTCAAATCAGATCATGCCTACCTTTTTGGACTTGGAGAGGCTAGATAGAGTATTCTGTTTATTTACTACCTACTTTTTCTGCGAATGTATACTGTTGGTTAGTGTTATGGCGTTTAAGATTAAGGCTTAGGATCTAGAATTAGGGTTAAAATTAGGATTAGGAGTCAGGATTAGGGTTTGAGTTAGGAGTAGGTTGACGAATAGTGTCAGAAATATCAATGGATCTTAAAGTACTATGACCTACAGTCACTTGAATGAATTGGTATATCGCACATGGTACGATTTCTCCATTGATCATCTGTGTATAGACTGGAAGATGTTCTTACAACGCATAAGCTACAACTGCATAGCGTAATATCATGTTTGCAATAGTTTTTAGTGTATTTTCCAACGATTATGCGACTTTTTGCATCTGAATTCTGATTGGTTGTTCAAGGTCACTGTGGTTTTGGCTATGATAGTTTAACTTCGCCTTGGAAAGTATGAGTGTAACGACGAAAGATAAGGAAATAGGTAAATAGACTCGTTTATTTAGGAAAAAAGACATCATACTTATACATTCTTCATGACATTGAAAGTTTGCTGGCTCAGCGAGCAATAGACTATTCTGACTGGTTGGCGATTGGTTCAAGGTTGAACAAGGGTACAGAAAGTTGTCCAATGAGATTATAATCCAGATTTGAAGAATAAATACTCCTACCTCAGCAGCCATTGATTTAAAATATTCATTTACATTTTGACCTCTTCCTATCAGTCTGCATATATATAGCACACGCCACAATTGGAATAGATAAATATTAATTACAGGCAGATGTTCGAAACAAGTAACCTAGATCCTAGAGGTTCCGACAAAAGAATCAACAAAAAATGAACAAATGAGATTATGTTGAGTCCATAAATTCCACTAGGACTCATCACCCTGTTAGTTCACATGCATCCATTGAGGAAATACTTGTAAGCATACATACAGATATATACTAAGACGTCAAATGAGACATCTTAATATAGGGCGAGCTATTTAAAAATGTCAAACACACCCGTAAATCGGTTGGTAATAAATCAATAGTGAAAGTTTATACATACATGTCTATATTTAGAACGCATTGCTAAACAAAAATGTTTTTAAAAAATTGCGGATAAATCGGACACGCAGAGGATGCTTTCGGGTGACATCGCCAGCCAGGCCCTGGAGTGGAGAGCGGCGAGTTGGGCGTCCGAGGATTACATGGAGGAGATAGAAATTATGGGCAGTCGTGAGTTCAGCTGAAGAGGAATGCAGAAAATAGGACGAAATGGAAATGTGCTTCCGAATCCTCATATTCCATTTTGAATCAATAAGAATACCAATAATAAATAATGTATATTAAAACCTGAGAAAGATATAATGTAAAAAGAAATCTCTGGCCTATATGTCATTTAAACCTCAAGGTCAAGAATCAAATACATTGCTGCAAACAGACCATTTATCAAGAAGTTGAAGAACTAGATAACGATGCACAGAGAAGGTATTATGTGCGTTAGGTTAGTAGAAATACTAATTATGAAAATAGCAGTACTAATTAAGAGTACAAGGTTAGTTTCTCCACGTATAAGCTTCTGTTAGAGAACCCTTGGGAATCATAGAGCATTAAGGAGATTGCTCCTTCCCAGTTTAGAATTCTTCAGCACTGCACACTCACGACTCTGTTAGAGATTGGAGACAAAATCATTCGGTTATTAAATGAACGCGTTGCCATTTCAGTATACAATATCATGCTACCGTCAACCAGTACTATTTGTATTTCTCGTCACGCGGTGGATTAATATTCATGTATTTCTCAAGATTTGATTGCTTTCAAGGTAGATATCGTCGCGGAGAGACGCGTTTTGCTGAAATTGTAGCTCATCGTTAAGAATCACCTGCATTTCACTTAAGTAGTGTACTTCACCTATTATTACTACTATGTCGTTCTTGTTGGATGTATTAGATTCTGACTGGATTTTTAATTGTTCTAGGCATTCATATCGTAGTCGTTTACTTAAAAACAGGCGTTGTTCATAGATTTAGACAACTGGCTATCAAAAACTTAGTCCCAACTCCAACAACTTCCACTCTGGAGACGACACAAAACTATGAGCTATCACTACATACTGCTGATTGATAGAGACGATTAGTTGTGTACTATTCATGTCAAATATTTGTGCTTGCTGGTCAGTATGAGATGATCTAAACACCGGACAGCCGTTTCGCTCGTTTGGGGCCCACCTCATCAGCGGTGTACCCGGTTCGACTTGGCTGAGATAGTCGAGTCAGTCCAGACCACCTGATTTCTGGTTAGCTATTTGATCGGACTTTTCACACTTTAAGTCACATTCACAATTTGCAGTCTAAACTTTTCTTTGAAAACTAAGTTGTTCAGATCACAATATGTGGTGTGCATAACACCTTAAAGTGGTCTGCAACTACTCATCTCAGCCAATCAGTAGTAGTATATGGTTTCCTGCAAATATGTTTGCTTCCTCGATTACCGTTTATCGTATCAAACAGATCACATGTTGTGATCTGAACAACTTGGTTTCCAAAGGAAACTGCGGTGAAATACTTCACCACTGGAACTGTGTAGATTGCAAACTGTGAATTCGATTAATGAGGTGTCACAACACCTAAAGTGTATGGCTTATTGCTGTCCAGTACAATACATAAAAAGCCTATATCGTTTGATTTAGTTGCATTGTTGCATTGTACTACAGTTTACAACTAGACATATATCTTGCCCTCTCATTTATAAAGTGTACTTCAAAGTATATAATTTAATTGTTCATCACGCTCTTATTTAATTGTGTTGTCAGTTCAATCGTATCTTAAAGTAATGTGTTTCTTAACAAATCATTGGACGCAGTAAATACACTTCATTTGGCTATCACTTGTAATAATGCATTTTCGTCATTTTATATTTTAATACTCAACAAAGAGTTTTAAGGGAATTGTGTGCTAAAATTACCAACAAAGTACATTTGCTGTTTTCCTGCCAAAATGTGAAACTTTTAAATAAGACACGTGAATTTAGACATCTTGAAATATCAGCTTAATTTCTTTAATGAGTAAGAAGATTAAACAAAATCTTGTTAAACGACTCTTTATTTTTGATTGGACACTGGTCAGTGACTAGTGTAATGTGTGTGTGTGTGTGTGTGTCTAGTTCTGTCTTTGATGCAGACTGAATTTTAATAGTCAAGTTTGCAATGTGGCCAGTATTCCAGGTGGCGAGCCATCACGATGCACTATGAATTGTTGGTAACAGGTGGTTGGAGGCGATTGGCAACCATCTAATACCAACAATTCATAGTGCAGGGTGATTGTGAGCCACTTGGAATGCTGACCACACTGCAGACTTGACTAACAGAATTCAGTCTGCATCAAAGACAGAACTAGACACATTATGCTAGTTACTGACTAGTGGTGTCCAGTCAAAAATATCCAATACAGTCCTACAGGAGGTCAATCGTGAGCCCGAATAGCTCAGTGGTAACATCTCTGACTGCAGGCGGCACTGGGTGACGCGGGTTCGAATATCAGAAGGGACATGAGTACCTTCAAGGTTGCAGATACGCTTTGTTGACTAATGAGTGCCAACCAGCACGAAACCTAGGTCCAAGGCTTCCTGACGATTGCCTCCAACCATCTAATACCAACACAGGACTCTATTTTAAATGTTTGACTTGTCTTACAGACAGTGTGCATTATTATTATTATTTTCATAAGGGTGCATAGAGTTTTTGGTTGCTTTCAGTCATCTTGTTTTTACTACGACTAATATTTTAAAGGCTTCCAGTATAATTTACAAATAAACTAAACGTAATCATCACGATATCATTGTGGGTAGTCAGGGAGCATAACTAACCACTGCCTCGTTTTTTTATGCTTCGATGGCCCATGAAGAGATACACATCCTAGTTATAATTCTAATTGTAGACAAAGATCTGTAAATGGGTTATGCTTTAACCAGGACTTCGTGAAACGAAATATCACCGATATTATTATGCCTTCATGCTTTCAAATATACGTTATCTTTCTAAGTGAACAAAGTTCATATACAGTAACTACTAGCCATCTGGAGTGTTCCCCTGATTTACTAGTTTTCTAGTTCCTGTCGTCACAGTTTAATTCTTCGAGTGATCTTAGATTAGTGATATTAAGTGATGCATACCTTCTCTTTGATCTTTCTTCCTCACTTCGCAACTACATATTAATATTTCCCCGTAGATTTATGAGTAAATGATTATTAGTATATAAATGTCCATTTGTTAAGTAATCGGTATCATTAATATAGGTAACTGCTCCAAAAGAAACCGTTGTTATAATGGGCGCAAAACGTATTTCAGAGCCAAAGGCTACCGACGATGGACACATCACTTATCATTTTCAACAAAATGTTCCTGTTCCCAGTTATTTGATTGCTATTGCTTGTGGTGATCTAGCTTGCAGGTAAGTGTGTGTGTGTGTGTGTTTTCTATGTAATCTTGTTAAATATTGTAACAGCAGAAGGTAAGACACGGAATTCAAGATATGTCTTTCATTGATCAAACCACTGTTTATATGTATATATATATATATATATATATATATATATATATAGTTGCGAATCATCCACCTGAGCTAAAAAATCTTCTCTATTATTTCACGGTTTATATTCGTTAACCAGTCACAGCTTGTGATTTTGGTTTACATTAAACGAAATGAAATAGAATGTTCAAATATACATAGTATTCTGTTACTAATTCTGTATTGAACTGTGAGAATCATATTCCATTGGAACACATTGTCTGTACCACACCACCACAATATGATATCATAAAAGTCATGAACAAATACTATTGTATTACTGAGGTATCTAATCAAAACTTAATTCACGTTCACTAATACACACGCAGTTGATGATGAAAACATGAATGAACTGGTTCTGTTAACATTAAGTTTGCATTTAATTCATTGGTATTATATGAATTTTAATCCTATTCTGTGTTGTAGACTGTATTAAAAATCAAACCATTCACTCGTGTATCTGCTCACTTTTGTATGGAAAGGCTTCTCACATATATCCAGTCTCACTGTTTCACCTTTTTTCACCATGAGTGAATATTATTCAAAAACCATGTGCAACTCCATGCAATCGCTAGTGCGCCGCACCTATTGTGTGTGTGTGAGAGAGAGAGGTTTGGTGATACTGTAACAGCACAAGGCAAGAGTCAGGCAACAGATCGTTTATTAAGGAAAATCAACACATATTTATAGATTTTAATGTACATTATTGTAGATTATTGTTAGTAGACAATTGGTTGATTGGTTGTTTCTCACAGAAAGTTAACCTTGCATATCTTTGTGGCTGTGTCAGATCATCTATATGCTAACTGTATCCGCCTACGCAAAGCCTTTGTTCTCATTTTTTCACCACCAATATTGGGGACATAAACATTGATGTCAATTACTGTCTACCAACTTTGGCTGGCAGCCAGCTCTCACCACAATACTACTTGGCCTCCTAAACCTCATTAGGTGGAGCGGTATTTGAACCAGTGGCCCATTGTTTCAAAGTCGGTCGTCTATACTAATGAGCCCCAAGCTTTGACATTTTGCCATGAACAGAAGTAACAATGTAACAGTTATAATAGTTTGGTTACCAGAATTAAGCTGGACTGGGAATATTGTTGGCAGATTCATTTTCAAAAGAATGGACACGGAACAAAGAGTACTCTTTTCGATAAATTCATCATCAGGCTATACAGTTATATATACATTATAATGAATGAATGAATTAGTCTTATGAACGACATTAATGTTTGAATAACATCAAATCAATAATATTGATAGATTACAGCTGAATAGCATCAACATAAAATAAGCTGAATGTCAGAAGAATTATGAAAGATAATAGTACAAATTCATGAGTTTATAGTTTCTACTGAGGGCCAGGGGAGTAGTAGGGGCTGGACTTGTTTCTTTTGAACACAGAGCACTGGTTGTTTGAGGCGAATTGCAATAGCCTCTGGTGTTTGGAGTTTGCGGTGCTTCGACGATTTTGGTAGTTTGTTAGGCAGACGGTATATTATAGAGAAGGATTCTTCTACGCTGCCTTTGTGACCGGTTTGCACCAGACGGTCTAATATCGAGCTGTTAATAGTTTTAACTAAACCTTTACTTAGCCATAGTGGGATATGTTCTCGAGCACGAAAAATCAAGTTCCTAGAGCATTTTCAAAAACAAACATATTACAAGATATTGACCGCGAGCTATTTAGTTTTATCGACAAGTGTGTGTGTGTGCTGTCTGCTAATGTGAGTCAGTAATTGTAACACTTCTAACGCAAATAAGACTTTCGTATGCATTGATTCGTCATTGTAACCCCCCCCCCCCCACCAAAAAACTAACATATCTGTCGATTGCACATTCACTAAATTAAAAATAAAATTCCAGACAACCTTGGAAAGCACTTTTATCCTATTAACTTAATAATCAATTTTTTTTAAAATATTTTGGTTATGTATGTTTACCTCAACAACAGTTTAGTGGTCGTGTACATATTTAATAGTTAAAAAAGCCTTAATATTTATTAGTTGACTGATCTCATACAAGTGTATTGCCACGTTCCTTCCATCAAGAAGTGTGCACTTTGTGTTATTCAGGGGAAATTCGTGAATATGTTCATGGAAGCAGGACGAAATTCCAGTGATTCCATATTGGATAAGCTTATTTTAAATATTATCACACAGCAATGCAGTATTAACAACTGGATGACGTTTCGAGCACAATTTATTACCACTCATAATCATATCAGTTTTAGCCACACAGTTTCACAATCTGTCATATATATATATATATATATATATATATATATATATATCCTCTTTCTTTCTCTCCAACTTCCCTTTGTTGTTTGTTGCCACTTTCTATATCTCCGGTATAGGCGTTGCGTCATTCCGATTGCATACGTGCGGTGTTGAATCGATAAACAAAGCTTCAGTGCCAACCTCTGTCTCCACCTAACTTTATTACTTTTTAATACTCTCATCCTGTCCCCCCACCCACCTCGTATTGTGTGATTACATGCAAGTGAATGCAATGCAGTGCAGTGTAATGGCTGAGCTTTTTTCTAGGTTATATTTAACTGAGCTGGGCCAGTTATTCTAGGTCGAGCTAAATTATAAGCAATAAATTGTGCTCGAAACGTCCTCCACTTGTTAATACTACACCACTGTATGATATTTAAAACAAACTTATCTTGTATGGAATTACATTCTACCACAGTGCCCAGGTTCTACACTTACATTAATGAAATTCCAGTGAGTTGCAGCGCGTGTCATTCTGCCTTGCAAAGAATGCAATTTATTCGTGAAGACGTTTATTCATCTATAACATCCAGAATGCTTTAATTTGTCTGTTGAATGTAGTCGAACTGTACTAATCATCTGAATATGTTTAAATGTTTATTTCTTTTAAAGTATTTATACGTTGTCCACTTTCAGTAAGCTTTAGCTATCATAAAAATCAAAGCATAATCCTTGATTTGATTATGGAACATTTGCTAAATTTACCACTCTCACTTTTCGTTTGTTTTTCATTTCAGAAAAATTGGTCCACGTTCATCTGTTTGGGCTGAACCTAGTATAGTAGATAAAGCAGCTTATGAATTCAGTGAAACAGAACAAATGATTTCAGCTGCTGAAAATATTTGTGGACCATATCAATGGGGTTTATATGATATCCTGGTACTTCCACCAACATTTCCTTATGGTGGAATGGAAAATCCATGCCTGACATTTGTTTCACCAACAATATTGGTAGGTTTATAATTGTAATTTAAAACATACCTGTTAAAAAACAACTGTGTAAGCCAACAATATTGTTTTCAATTTGACCTCCTTAAGATTTGTACAATTAAGTATATAAAATTAAACAATAAGTACTGCCAAACATGGCAATTTGTTTATAAGGTAACAAAACGGATGTAAACTGAACAATTATTCAAAGTCATAATAATAATAACAAATTTTGAAAATTAGCTAAACTGACATAGTTCACACGTAAATCTTGAAATGGTAGATCAAAGCTTAGAAAATAAGTAATGAGAGTGCATCATACTAAAGTGCAAGAGGAGTATATATAGAGTTTTAATGAAGATGTAATTGGGAATGACTGATGTGCAGCAGTTCCAGTCGCCACACTCTCTCCTTGTAGCACACAAAGCAAGAGAAGAAAGTTGCAAAATAGGGAGACAGTAAACAGAGATATGAGGCAAAACGAATAGTAATTTCGAAGAACCATATAGTTTTATTGGCTATTATAAGTCACAAGGACTGGATGCATCTGCGCCATCATTGAGAACGATTTTGAGCCATATCACCAATTGTCTCCAGCCTTCATTGGTTTTTACCGTACCGAACACCCCAACCAAGAAGTCCACACCTTCATACGTGACTGGCTTAAACTAACTGTTGTGGAAATTCATTGACTGATGATGCCATGTTTTGGTTTGACCACCACTAGCTCTTTTCCAACCTGAACCATTCTATGTTAGCTAACATTGCCCGTCAGTCGAGGAAGGCGATGACTAGGCATACGTAACACATGTCCTAACCATCTCTCTCAATCGGTGTAACTTCACAACTTCGTCGATTGATTTCACTTCCCACCTACCTAGCACTCGACGCCTAATTCCTCAATAGGGATGACAAAAAGTAGTATGAAAGTAGTTGAATTAGTTAGGTGTCTTATGACCAAGCCAAAATTATAGTTGCAAAACCTTTTTCTGAATACAAAGTTTAAGACCTTTTCATTCGTCTGCTAAATATAACTGAAGATACATATTCTAATCAAAATCTCCCGGAAAGATTCGATTGAATGTTAATGATAAATCGCTTTAAGTGATTTCGATTTGTTTACCCAATGACTGATGGCAATTAAGTGGGACGAAATAAAGTTCAATGTAGATTTTACTCGTCTTTTAACTAGCCAAAATGGGAAAGACCTGTGACACATAATTGTATGTTCAGTTTCGAGTTGACCGGCAATTTGTTGGTATATGAAGTCAGCTGTCTCAGTAAGTGATACAGTCATAAATAATGTTGATACATCCATGGATATCATGTGTCTTATACTTAGGGGATAACTTCCTGGTTAGGGTCCTTGGGGTGCTAAGAACCAATGGTCACAGACAATTGGTGGTATGGTTCAAAATCGTTCTCAAAGGCGCAGATGTATTTATTCTTTGTGATCTGCTATATCTAATAGAAACCCAAAGGGAGACAAGTCTTCCTGTGATAATCACAGGGGGATTAGCTTGACTCAATAATAATGCGTAGACTAAGCGATCCACGGGAGGAACAAACACAAGAGAACCAGGCAGGCTTTAGACCAAGCAAAATTACATTATATCAGGGAGGGGTGCCAAAGATTGCATAACCAAATGAAAGATAGAATAAAGACATCCAGGTACCAGGGCAAGGAAAGACTGATAACTGTTAACAATTAACTGTCAGTCATAATCTTATCAACTATAATAATTCATATGATTATGACCAATAAATTGTGTTCAAAACCTTGTCATCCAGTAAATAATACTGTTTCACTGTGTGATATATCTAATAAACAAAATGATATGGAATTACAAACTACCACAGTGCCCAAGTTGTACATATAATATATATATATTAATATAACCCGTTTTGTTCAGTAATGCCATACTTCTATCTTTGTTCTCAGATTTTCGCTCGAGTTTATTTAAGAGTTCTAACCTGACTGTCTCTTCTTTATGTGTATTCAACTTGATTGAGAGTAAATCCTGTATAAGGTGTAATCCAAGACAGGAGTAGTTTGCCATCCGTATACTTGCATAATCGTCGTTATAAAATATCACTTTGTTTCCCTATGTACTTCCTTCAGCTATATGTATTTCTTTTTCCTTAACTAATCATGATAAATTACTTTCCTCTATTTTAGGCCGGTGATCGCTCGTTAGCTAATGTTATAGCTCATGAAATCGCTCACTCATGGACTGGTAATCTAGTAACAAATTCAACTTGGGAACATTTTTGGTTGAATGAAGGGCATACAATGTATTTGGAACGTTTAATCATCGAAAGTCTATACGGTTCGCATATGAGACATCTTCATTTAAGCTTAGGTTATAGTGAACTTAAAGAAGAAGTAAGATTTATTCATTGTACATGAATTATATTTTGTTCCTGTTGTTCCCATCCTCTTGTAATGGCTTGTGCTTTCTTTTATTCGTTTGCGTTCTAAGTGGAAATATAGAGTTTCAAGCTTCAGCTTTGAAGTCTCGGTAGCGGTGGCGTTTTTTACCGGATGCGGTTGCTAGCCTCATTCCCATCTTTTCTTCATTACGAGGCTTACTACTGGCTAAGTGAGGTTTGAGAGTGCATCGTCCGAGGATCGAACTCGGACCACGTGTGTGGTTGGCGAGCATTTTACCATTGAATCACCGACCTACTTTTAATGACTCATACTACTTACTACTCAAATATTTTCAATTTAGTAGTTGTCAGTAACTTGGTGAAATTTCTAGATTTCATTTCACTTGGAAAATTTACAAACTATGCACCGTGTATTAAGTGATGGTCAACTTTGTGATTCGTTCTCATATCTTTTTGTGGTTGCTCAAGTGTTCCATCAACTTAATCATTGTTCGTTTAGACTTCGTTGGAATCTCTGAAGTAATATAAGGTGTGTTGCATACTACCAACACTTCATAATTAATCTGATATTCACTAGTGACTGGCTTTTTACAGGAAGTTATCTGGAATTCTAGTGAGGAGTTATAACCAGCGGAGTCCACCAATTCAGATAGGATGTCAATTATTAGTTGTTGGTTGTACTATATGTGTCGCGAAATGGCAGAATTTGTAATTCATGGTCTGCTTAGATCGGGTCCCTGTGGTTGAATGTTCTACGAGCTGGCCTTGTAACCGGAAGGTCCTGGGTTCGAACCCTAGTAGGTGGGTACTGATGAAGGGTTTCAAGCCAGGACGAAACAGCTGTCCAGTACTCCCAGGTTTTCCAACGGTTCAATAACTGATCAGACGTGTAGCCAATCAAATGCCTGCAAATCAATACTCGGTTATTATCATCTTGGCTATTTTCGACATTATGATAACTTGCTGTTCAGGTAGGCCTATTCTAATACTTCATTGTCCTCCCCTCCCCAATGTCTCACAGGGTTTCAATTATTTTTTGGTGAATTAATCACGCTAAAATTTCTCAAATGTCGTAAGAATTCGAGAGATTTGTCGTTGACATTATTCTCAGCCTACTTGATGAGCTTTATTTAATAAATAAATGAGCATTGTATTAATTTTTATTTATTTTTAAATTTCAAATTTACTTATTATAGCTTAATTCCACACATTATTTTGGTACAACTATGGAATTTTCAGCATGTGATATCCCTAGACTAAATTCAGCAGGCCGACCATTAATATATCGGGTGTGCATCAACCGGGGATCGAATCCCGGACCATTTACACGGTCGATTAGCATCCTAAACTCTGTGTCACCGACGTACAGTGTAAATTCATGAGGACCTCACCTAGTTTACTATTTCACAAGTCGACTAGCTGGGCATAAGCCCGCACAAAAAACCCTGTGTAAATTTATATGAATTTAAATGAACGAAACAACTTTTTATGCTTACACAAAAGAAGCATTTCAAGTTACGTGATCTAATACTATCATCTCACTCTTATAATTTTTTTTTCAATATTAATAGATCAATAGACTAGGTGAATTACACCCGTTTACGAAGCTTGTTACAAACTTAGAAGGCGTTGATCCAGATGAATCATACAATCGAATTCCATATGAAAAAGGATGTCTTTTACTTTACTACTTAGAAACTTTATATGGAAAAGGTAAGTGTAGCTTACTACTGCCCTTTAACTTTTTCACTACTTTTTTTGTGTTTTTTTCCAGGCATACCTACTTACAGTTTTTAAGTGCATGTCAAAAGTTTTTTATGAACGCTTAGTCGTTTAGGAAAGTGGTTTTTGCGATTCAATCAGTTAAAAATCGTTGTGTTAGAGTAGAGAAGAGTTGTCATTGTGTTCTGTCAATTTTTAAACTAAGTGCGTCGGTGGCACAGCGGTGGAATGAATGCTCGCTGACCATGAATGTGGTGCAGGGTTCGATCCCTGGCCACCGACGGACTCCTTTACCTCGCTAAGCCACTAATAAGACTGGTTTAGAGGGAAGGTTGGACATGAGGCTAGCAACCCCATCCCGTAAAAATAAAAACACTACTGCTACCGAAAATTCAGGCCTCTAGCTTGAAGCCCTATGTTCCACTGGGAACGTAGAGGAATAAAAACATTTGTTTAACTAAATAAACACTTAAGTGTTGGCTAGCTATGCATGACTTTGAGATAATAGAAAATTTATAAGGCTAGAATAATAATAATAATAATAGCTGTCATTGTAAACTCACCAGACAATCCATATGTTTTGACTTCAAAATTCATTATATTCTGTTAATCTCGTACATGTCATAGTTAACGATTGTATGTGTGATTAGTTAGTTGGTGATAGGCGTATTACATTGGATTCTTGTAGGTAAATAGTCAAAACTAAGCGGAAGCATAATTAAGTTATACAATCAATATCTGTGAATTCACTTGAAACCGTTCTAACAATTAATCTTGCTTACCTGATGGTGATTGTAGTGGCACTAAACAAACCGATGTGTTGTTGTCTGAACACAAGAAAGTAATCGTTGCCTTCTAATGTATATAGCTAACCAAACTTACACACAGTTATTTGCGATAAAATCTGTGCTACTATTTAACGATAATAACATATTTAAACTCAAAATTACCTCAACAATGCCGTTAGGCAGCTATACAGATTTAGGACTTTCTCAAATACAAATAAATTAAAATCAACCGTAAGAAGTACCTGAGAATCAAGGAGAATATTCCTAACAAGGTGGGATCAAATCTCTCTTAGCAAGAATCACGCGCCAAACATTTCCCGTAGACAATCCAGGGTAAAGATCCCCTCGACCAGCCTTAACCTGACTCAAATAAAATCACAATCATAGAACAACACATTATCAATACCATCACACAGTCGCAAAGAGAAGCGTTTGAATTAGAGATTACACAAGAACAAAGAAAAATGATACAGACTAAAGACATTGCCAGACAACGCCTAGAAGATGGTAGTCTTCAGAAGTCAATTTACCGAAAGCCTACATGGAAAGGACAATACCTACAGTTTAATAGTTTTTGTCCAAATAGCCTTAAACGATCACTAGTCAAGACTCTATACTATAGAGCTAGGAGGATATGCTCTACCGAGAAGTTAGAGAAAGAATTTATGTTCCTCGAGAAGATGTTGAAAAGCAACGGTTACCCTCAAAGGTTCATTAACAAGTACGGAAGATCTGAAGGCTCAAGTATCAAACAAATCACAGTGGGGAAAAAACCCATCTACATTCAACTTGATTTTAAAGGTGAAAACTTTACAGCAGTTGTCAACAAAAGATTGAGGACATCACTAGGCAGAGCCTATCCTGCAGCTAAGCTGGATCCCGTTTATCGAACAACTTGCCCTTTGGTGCAATCAAAAATCGACAGATATCCTTCTCATGTTAACTCTGTGTATACAAATTTACATGTATCTGTGGGAGCAGTTACACTGGGAGAACAGAAAGAAGGGCATACCTACGGTTTTCTAAACATATACCGAAAAGCGTACTTCTCAAGGGAACAAATGCTTTCAATAGTGCTATTACCAGGCCTCTCCTTGACACGAGTCATCAGACAGACGTCACAAGATCGTTCAAAATTATCAACAGGCAAAAGAGTTTAATTCTCCTTAAGTTTGCTGAAGCAATTCCTGTCAAGCCCCTGAAATCCGATTCATCTGTTCAGAAAAAAGCAGTTATCAGTCTTTCTTTGCCCTGGTAACTGGGTGTTTTCATCCTCTCTTTCATTTCACTACGTAACTCAAAAAAATTCCAATGTGTATGACCACTATTGTGTGGGATAAAGGGATTATTATTATTATTAGCGTTGTATGCATATATTGACTGACTGATGTTTTGTTTAAAAATGAACTCTGTGGAAGTATGCTAAGATTTTTTCTGTAAATAAACTTAATAACTTCCTTGAGCTGTAAGCAGCTTATGAGAAGCCAAGGAAACAATGAATAATTCTGCAAAAACTGTTGTTCTTGCTTTATTCAAATAAACATTAAGTCGTTCGGTAATATGGAGAAATTACAACAATGATATTATAGACTACGGGGAAAAGAGGAAGATAATTACAAAGTTCATTGAAATAACTAAATAAGTATCAAGTATTGGTTTGTAGGGATTTGATTGATTGGTTACAGGATTTTATCATGAGCTGACATTGGTTAGAGAACCATAGGAAAACCAACAATGGAGTACTGGACAGCTGTTCCGTCCTGGTTCGGGACTCTTCAGCAGTACGCACACACCGGGGTTCGAACCCAGGACCTTCTGGTCTGGTATGCGAGCTCGCCTTGTAACCAGAAGATCCTGGGTTCGAAACCCGGTGGGTGCGTACTACCGAAGAGTCCCAAACTAGGACGAAACAGTTGTCCAGTACTTCCAGGTTTTCCAATGGTTCTCTAACCAATGTCAGCTCATGATGAAATCCTGTAAATAAGTATCAATTTTGTAATTAGATCGTTGTGGAGGGATTTTTCAAACAGTTATTCTGTTACAGTTGTTATGTGTATTTCGTCATCATAACCTTCTTCTATTTCTCCTCTTTCTTTTCACAAAACAAAAACACTACAACATCTAGAAAAAATGCTCAACTGGTTAAAGTCATATGTGAAACAATTTTCTGGCTCATCGTTGAATTCTGACAGTTGGTTAAAGTTTTTCTCCTCTCAGATAGACTCGAAGCTACTTGATCCAAACAATGAAATACATGTATGGATGCATAGTCCAGGTCTACCTACATGGGTACCAAAGTAAGAAATACTTGAAAACTGTTTGCGTATATTATGTGCAACTTTCCATATTAGTTTGTTTATTAGATGTATCACACAGTGAAACAGTATTATTTACTGAATGACGTTTCGAAAAAAATTTATTGTTCATAATCATATCAATTATAATCACACGACTTCGAAACTTGGGTTTTATAGTTTTCTTTGTCCTCTCTTGTTTGTCGTAGGGGTAGTAGAATTTTCAAATATATCTGGGACAGGTGATGAATCATTCCTATTACATGTATTTGCAGTTGATTCGATAAACACAGCTTCTGTTATCAATCTCTCCCTCCACCCTGTGACATTAGATTTTTAAAACTGTCATCCTATCCCATCCTATTGTATGGTTGTGTGTAACTGCATGTAGTGCTATAGCTGAACTATTCTCTAGATTTTTTATCTTATTCGGGTACAGAAATTAGTGTATTAGAAAAGGGACTAAATTTCAATGTAGCGGTAGACAAGCTGAAACCTGAGGATGTCATCCCTAAAATAGAAATAGCACTATGTAGGATAGATAAAACAACAGCTGACGAAGTACGGGCACAATGTGCACTGACATTAAAACGACAAAAACGTGGAAAGCCTAACCTGAATAAACCAGAGATATAAACCCTGAAACACCTTAAGAATAACAAGGATATAGTTATCACAAAATCGGACAAAGGAAGTGCAACAGTAGTATTAGACAAATCAGATTATTTGGACAAGGTAAACACTCACATACAAACAGGACCATATGAGGAAATTAATAAATCAATAGACACAGTTATGAATAAAGTTAAGAAATCCACAGTGGACCTTATACGCCGAATGAAGCCGTTTCTAGGTGAGTCTAAGTGGTTTAATTTAATGCCCAAAACTAATAACCCCAGTAGGATGTATGGTGTTGTTAAAGTTCATAAGTCAGGATACCCTATTAGGCCTATAGTTGATTTTAGAAATTCACCTACTTATGAATTATCTAAATATTTAGCCATGGTACTAAATCCCCTTAAAAGCCAGCCGAAATCTAGACTAACAAATTCTTATGAACTAAAACACAGATTAGATAATTTAAAATTAGATAAGGAAGAGAAAATGGTTAGTTTTGACATTGTCAGTTTATATACACGTATACCAATAAATATGGCTATAGAGGCAGTCAGAAACGAATTCATTTCTGACCAAGAACCCGAACTTAGAACGAAAGTGCCACCTGAGTACATAATGCTGGGAGTGCAGCTATGCCTGACTTCAGCAGTATTTAAATTCCAAGGGAAAATATACAAACAAACTGAGGGAGTTGCCATGGGATCACCAATATCCCCAGTTGTAGCAGATATATTCATGGATAGGTGGGAAAGCATAGCGATTGAAACGTTCACCCCCACCCCAAAAGTATGGTGGAAGTATGTAGATGACACATTCACTGTACTTAGAACACAAGATATAGATAGATTTTTCGAACACATTAACTCGAAGGTTGAAGCAATTCAATTCACTTATGAATTGGAAAATCAGGAAGGGGAGCTCCCAATGTTAGATTGCAACGTAAAAAGGAAAGAAGATGGGAAGTTAAACACTAGTGTTTACAGGAAACCCACACATTCAAACAAATATTTCGACTTCCAATCATCCCATCCTATGTCAGTAAAAATAGGATTGGTGAAATGTTTAAATGACAGAGCACAAAAACTAAGTAGTACCAAAGAAAATCTAAAACAGGAACTGATACACATAGAAGAAGCCTTGAAACTTAATAATTACCCGGATAAACTAGTCAGGAAATATGTAAGGAAATGTAAAAATAAAATAAATAATGAAAGTAGTGATAGTGATAATAATAATAACGACGACATGCATGTCAAATATGCGCAAGACAACACTAACAATAAGGAATCTAAATCATCAGTAGTAATTCCATACAAGGAAAGAACCTCGGAAGCCTTACGCAGAATTCTTAACAAGGCAGGAATAAAAGTGGCTGGCATTCAAACCCACAAACTCAATTAGAAACAAGCTTTGTCGGTTAAAGGATCCTGCAGAGCCTTTAAAACAAAACAATTTAGTTTATCTAATGCCCTGCTGGAATGATTGTCAGGTCAAATACATAGGTCAAAGTAGTAGAACAGGGGTAGTCAGACTAGCCGAACATAAAAATCTAGCAAAATCTAGATTGGTTGACCCGAATAAGATAAGAAGTCTGGAGAATAGTTCAGCTATGGAGCTCACTACATGCAATAACACACAACTACACAATAAGATGGGATAGGATGACAGTTTTCAAATCTAATGTCACAGGGTGTAGGAGGAGATTGAGTCATAAGAAAAAGGCACAAACAGCGAAGAAAATTTTCTTCTCGATGATTCATTTTCATGAGCTGTACAATCTTGATTATATTGAACAAAGAAATCTTTAGACCAATCAGATACTGGTAAACTTTGTCCTTGAAAAACTGTATTACATAATGTAAGGTGTAGGAAGGGATGACTGATTATAAGTTAGGAAAGCGACAGAAGTTGGCATGACCTAATAAGTGTGAAATAATTACTAATCAATAAGCTCGTGTAGAATGGATAGGAACTAGTGGAAGGGCGATAGTGTTTTATATAAAATCTGTATGAAAAAAACAGTAATCGAGTGGTAATATAATATGGATGATGGGGATAATTATGATAATAAAAGTAATCATCATCATAATAATAATAATGGTGAACTTACATAATAAAAGAAAGAAGCAAAATTGTAGTAAGAACTTTACTCTGGCCATGGTAGGGCGAGAGAATGTAAGTATCCCTTTTGAATGCAGAGCTCCGGTTTCAGATTTCTAATAGCTAATTCTTCAGCTATGTACAGATGGCGTATCCGAAGTCCCTTTGTATGATATTGAGGGACTCTGTGTATCACTGTGAAGCATTCATGTGGGGGTGCTCGACGTCCGGAGATGACAAGGTGATCGTGGATACAGCTGCTGCTATTCTTCTTTTCTCCTCTGGGTAACCAAGCTGGACAGTTTTCCAGAATACGTTTGTGGACTTGACGTTGAGTACGGCCGATATACTTTGCTCCACACGAGCAAGTAAATTGATAAATACACATTGAAGTGGACAAAAGCGGTATCTTGTCCTTAGCGTTAGACTGGATTAACTGTCTGCAGGAGAATGTGATACGTAGGGTGGCTGTTGGAAATGTCTTCTTCAGACATTTAGAAAGGCGGTTTCTGAGAATTTCCGCTGCGACATCACCTCTGAATTCTAGGCTCATGAAGAGAGTCTTCTTAGGAACCGTTGCGATGTTTGACATCGGAGGCTTCTCCTTCATGTTTTTGTCAATAAATCTTGGTGGATATCCATTCTCTAGTAGGATTTTACGTAATAAATTTAATTCATTCTCTACCATGTCTTCCGAGCAGATTTTTCTAATCCTTGAACACAATGTACGTACCAGGTTTCGCTTACGGATCACAGGGACAAAGCTCTGGAAGTTGATAAACTGTCCAGTCCATGTTGGCTTGCGATATATCGATCTTTGGATCGTACAGTCGTGTCTTCTGGTGAGTAGTACATCGAGGAATGGAAATGCGTTGTTCCATTCGCGTTCTAAGGTGAATCTTATTGATGGGTGCGCTGCGTTGAATGATATGATATGAATATGATCAGTAAAATAATTATGACAATATGATGGACAAGATTTGTAGCTCAGGTGGATGATTTGTGTTCTTTGAGCTGGATGGTTTATTTGCGAAGCTTTCATTGTCCTACTAAGCAACATCTTCAGCGCATACTTCAATTCGAAGTGAGCCTGTAGATTTCTCCACGAGTTTATTAGTCATCTCTCTTGGTGACCTCGAACGCGGTTGATTGTTTTCGTGTATTTTCCCTCTTTCTAGGCTACTTGTATTGGTATTGGTGTTGATTGTTTCCTTGACCTGAAGTTTAACCCTTTGTGTGTGAAGTTTCCCTCTTATCGGTTGGTAAATTTTGTCTATGTCGATGTGTCTATTAATTGATGATTCACTGGAATACCAGGCTTCTAATAATTCTCTAGCATTCTTGGTGTTTCCTCTCTCTAATATTTGAATGTTGTCCCAGTCGAATTGATGTCCGTGGTTGTCTGTGTGCAGCAGTATGAGAGGGTGGATGTCATGTATTTTGACGGCTAGTTTATGATCATGGATACGAAGACGAAGGGGACGTCCACTTTGGCCAATGTAGTGTTTTTCGCAGTTGTTGCAATTTATTTTGTAGATGATGTTGGTTTTATCTTCTTTCATTGTTGAGTCTTTTGGTTGACATAGAACTGAGTGAAGTGATTTTGTTGGTTTGTTTGCGACGTCAATTCAGAAAGGTTTGAAGAGTCTTGCAGTAATTTCTGAGATGTCCTTTATATATGGTAGGGTGATTTTCTTTCTACTTTCCTTGGGGTCCTTTGATTTGGTAGGTTGGTGAACAACCACAGGGGAATTAGAAACTCAAGTTTATAGAAAATCAATTCACACGGACCAAATACTCAGTTACAACAGCAACAATCCAATAACACACAAAAGGAGTTGTATACAAACACTATTCAAGAGGGCCAGGACTCATTATAACACTCATTGCTTAAGGAAAAATATCTCATGGACGTCTTCCAAAAGAATGGATATCCACGGAATTTCACCAAAAGACATATATCCCCAAGCCAACCTACCAAATCAAAGGACCCCAAGGAAAGCAAAACAAAAATCGCCCCACCATATATAAAGGACATCTCAGAAATCACTGAGATGTGCCTGTTACTGGTATGCTGAATATTTGTATGTGATATGTCAAAATTAAGCCTCAATTTACACACTTACTGTAAATTCTAAGGTTTTAATCGCTTGACCCTATGAACACTAAAAAGTTGCTGTAATTGGGAAATTTTCAAGCTCTGTTGTATAACTCTAATGAGCAATTCAATAATTATTAGTTAATACTTCTGTTATGCCCATTTTAATTTGTTTTTAATGAAGCAAAGTAGTATATAAAGTAGAGATTAATAACATGTATATTATACTATCTTATGTATTCTTTTAATATAGATTCGATGCTGATGACCTGTTTGCTGAATGCGACAATTTGCTTAAATTATTCACTGCACACGATCTACATTCAGATAATACAAAAATACAAAGTTTAACTAACCTGTGGAATAAATTGTCCCATATACAAAGGGAATTAACTCTACGTAATGTGGTTGAAGCTGAACCAGTAGAAATCAATAATTTATGCAAAATTGATGAAGTTTTAAAACTATCTAAACAGCAAAATGCTGAAATACGATCACAGTAAGGATTTCTTTTTCTTATTTTATGCACAGGTTACCTTTGATTTCATTTTATTTACTGGGTTTTTTTTAATAAGTTTTAGAACGCAAGTTAAAAGTAAAGAAGTGAACTCTATCTCCCTGTATTAATAATTAGCGCAACAATTGATCAAATGAATCCCGATCTATATATAACCGAAGAGTTCTCGTATTCTTCTATTCTGTCTGTACAGTTTCAGGTGTATTTGAAATGGTAGATAGTTGAAAGCCTGCGAGAGAAATCTATGGCCTATCGACACTTCTATAAGACGTAACTGCAACCTCAAAGAGGCTGATATCCGCATAGATATTGATTGAAAATCGGTGCTGCAGTCAGAGAGACTTTACTAGTAAGCCATTTGGGGAAGCGCAAGATACCACGGACGAATAGGCGTATACAGCATATCATTTAGGTTGTTCACTTAGTCAATATTATTATACCCACGCAACAGTCCACTTGGTCATTTCAGCTGTCAACGAGATCATATTAATGAAAACAAAACACGTAGTTCAGTGAAGAGTCTCTTTTCGACGAATTCATTTTCTTAGCTGTACAATCACAAATAAATATGTGTTATTTTGTATGTTTGTGTACATTAAGTTTGTCAAACAGAAATACAATTGGTTATGGTTGAAGATTAGTTTTGGGTAGAGTTACGTAATATAAAGACGGTCAAGAAAGTTGGGCGTTAATGAAACTAGTGTAGTACAAAAGGTGATGAGTTGTCACAAACAACTGTTAAAAAGAAGTTACGTAACAATATGAATAGTTTGATGAGTGAGTTGTACTCAGGATACACATAGGAACAAAGTAGAGAATACGAAATTACGTAACAACTCTAATTGAATACAAGAATTATAAGCAATTAAAGAAACAGGTAAACAAACAAAATTAAGTCATCAAAAATCAACAAAGTTGTTACCATGATAGTAGAATTGGTTGAGTAATTCTCTTTTGTATGCACAGCCCTGGTTTTTCTATGTGAATGGCCAGAGCTTCAGCGATACAAAGAAGACGAAAGTGTATTGCCTTTGGTAGGTTATTCTTGACTGTGTAGATTACTTTGAAGGAGGAGGCGTTTGTTGAGATGGAATGATCAGTGTTAATCAGGTGTTCAATTATCGCACTCCTTATTGCACCACTATTGCCTTTTCGCAACCATGCTGGATAGTGTTCTTGAATCCTGTTAGACAGGATGTGCGTCAAACGACCGATGTATCTGGCTCCACAGCAACAGGTGAACTTCATTTCATTCAAATCCCCATTCCTCTTCACCATATAAAATCATATAGCTAGTTGAAATATTTCATGGCTTTTGGATTTTTTCGTTTTTATTTCCATTTTAACTAGAGTTTTGTCAATCTGAAGATCGCGTCTCAATATTGCTGAGTGTAAGAATGCTCTTTGTGTTCACAAAATGGTTAATGTACTACTACCAGTCCCTATTACAGTTAATCCCGACCGAAAGCTGCTACCTTGACGTGGTGGTCGGGCTTGAACACTGCAATGACCCAACAAGCTATACTGGCTGGAACTTATGTTCCTGCAGGTCCTACCATGCCAGAAAGGTTGTTTGGATAGCAGTTAGACTAAAAGCAGTTACCCAATCCAATCCTATGATTTCAAATAAATCACAAAATATCATGCCGGATCGGTCGGGGCCCGGATTAACAACGACCGCGCTTTCTGCTGCCGTGTCACAGGGCAGAGGTGATAAATACGCTACTGAGACACACCAAATAAAAAAGAACAAACAAAAACAGGCCGTGTGTAACCGGCCTCAAGCAGTTGTCCCCTGGGCTCTGCGGTCACGCAACCAACTTCCACGGTGTGGGCAGCCGGGAAGTAACTATCGCCCTCACAATCCGAAGTGCACGCGAAACCCCTCTAATCCTCGCTCATCTTCGTCTTCATCTTCATCTCTATTATCTTGCCTTCCTTCTACCAATGCAACTCCTCTACTTGTTGGCTCTTCACTTCCCCTTCACTCTGTGTGCACTGACAACGATGGAAGCCAAAAAGCCACCACCGATTGTCTCCTAAAACCACGCCACCAATTTTATATAGGAGCATTTAATGTTAGGACACTTTGCCAAATAGGACAACAGGCATCACTAGCCAAGACTCTGGCATCCCGAGCCATTGATGTATGTTGTGTTTCAGAATCACGCATACAAGACCCAAGTGTGGTTATTCACCTAACCCCACCTGGCCAACAGGATGAATCAGCAAAATTCACCTTGAGGGTGTCAGGAGATGCGACGGCTAGCTCACGAGGATTAGCTGGTGTTGGGATAGCTTTAAGTACTAGAGCAGAAAAGACATTACTTGACTGGTTCCCGGTAGATAGCCGAATGTGCGCTGTCCGCCTGAACGGATCAGTGAGAAGGAGAAAGGACTGCACTACTCGCCGATGCCTTTTCGTAATCTCCGCCTACGCCCCCACTGACTGCAGTTCGGATGAAACGAAGGATGAGTTCTACCAAAAGCTGTCTAGTTTGCTGCGAAAGGCTAGACGCTCAGATATAGTCGTTTTAGCTGGTGACTTTAATGCTCAAGTAGGGAAATTGTGTCAATCTGAGAAGAATGTTGGTGGCACATACGGAATTCCGTGCCAGCGAACCGACAACGGTGACCGTCTCCTACAGTTCTGTTCAGATAATCATTTGTATCTTGTAAGCACTAACTTCAAACACAAGGAGAGACACTGTTTGACCTGGCGACCCCCATCATCAAATCAACGCTGGACACAAATAGACCACATAGCAATAAGCTATCGTTGGCGTGGGTCGGTAGGAGATTGTCGCTCCTTCTGGAACACGTGTGTAGATAGGGATCACGCACTGGTCTGCGCTCGTGTGTGCTTACGACTGAACGGACGTAGGAAACAGCTGGCGGTAAACCCATCACGTCCCCAGCTCGACCAGGGAACTAAGTCCCTATTTGAGGAAGAACTAGCTAAACACATATCTGAGTTTGACAGCTGCGCTCACCCTGAAGAAGCCTGGAAGAATATTCAGTCAGCCATAGACACAGCCGTAAAAGCTGTGAATAAGGTAATTCCAAAGGTGAGTAAAAACCACTGGATTTCGACTGCCTCATCCGAACTGATAGATGCTAGAAGACTTATTCCGGCGAGCTCCGAATTCAATGAGGAGCGAAAGCTGCACAAGAGGAAACTTACGAAAAGTCTCCGCAAGGACCGTGAACAGTGGTGGTTGACAAAGGCGAAAGAGATGGAAAAAGCATCGGCGATAGGCAACACCAGACAACTATTCAGGCTTATCAGGGAAACAGGTGGTAAAAAACAAATGATAAGCGAAACAATCGCCGAGAAAAATGGCACCATAATTAGCTCCCAGGATAGACGTCTGGAGCGCTGGAAAGAACACTATGAGGAGCAGTTTAATTGGCCCACAGCCACACTTAACCTACCGGACATCCAACACCTCCCTGAATGGGAGATAGACACAGGTCCTCCGTCCTTAACTGAGGTTACTAAAGCTGTCACCAATCTGAAGCTAGGCAAAGCAGCAGGACCTGATTTATTGACTCCAGAGGTATTTAAGTACGGAGGCGACAGTTTACTGTCTGCGTTAACGGAGGTTCTAGGCAGCGTCTGGGAATCAGAGGAAGTCCCATCGGGTTGGTGTAAGTCACTGATCATCCCGATATACAAGAAGGGGGACAAGACGTCTTGTGATAATCACAGAGGGATTAGCTTGACTAATATAGTATCTAAAATCCTAGGCTCAATAATACTGCGTAGATTAAGTGGCGCTCGGGAGACACAAACACGAGAAAACCAGGCAGGTTTTAGGCCAGGTAGAGGGTGTATTGATCACATCTTCACCCTTCGACAGATTCTAGAACATAGGCATTCCTACCGGCGTCCGACAATCATTATATTTCTTGACCTAAAGGCGGCATTCGATTCTGTCGACCGGGAGGTTCTCTGGCGATGCTTGGCTGTAAAGGGAATGCCAAGAAAATACATTGCACTGATTAAGGCACTCTACTCGTACTCATCCAGCCAGGTGAGGGCTTATGGCGAGTTGTCATCTGAAGTGGTGACGACTAGTGGCGTCCGTCAAGGATGCCCATTATCCCCATTCCTATTCAATTTCATCATAGATGTTCTAATGGACTTAACCCTAACTCACTTCAGCGACTCAGGGATTGACTTGCTACCAGGGAAGAATCTCGTTGACTTAGAATATGCGGACGATATAGTCCTTCTAGGCGAGGACTCTGACAAAATGCAGAGTCTACTGAACACCCTGAGCAACAATCTCCGCATGTTTGGCATGCGATTCGCCCCTATAAAATGTAAGATGATGCTGCAGGATTGGACTTCATCGACCCCTAGATTACAAATAGGAAGTGAAGTGGTAGAACACGTTGACCGCTTCACTTACTTGGGAAGTACCATCAGCCCCAACGGGTTGATCTCTGACGTAATCTCAGCACGAATACAGAGGGCTAGGTTCGCATTCGCCAGTTTTCGCCGTCTCTGGCGTAGACGTGATATCCGACTATCGACCAAAGGGCGTGTGTACTGCTCAACAGTCCGCTCCGTCCTCCTTTATGGCTGTGAGACCTGGCCATTGAGAGCAGAAGACATGAAAAGATTAGCTGTCTTCGATCCTAGGTGTCTGCGTTCTATCTCCCGCGTGAAGTGGTATAATAAGGTGAGCAATATTGAGGTTAGGCGTCGAGTGCTAGGTAAGGCGGGGAAATCAATCGACGAGACTGTGAAATTACTTCGACTGAGATGGTTAGGACATGTGCTACGTATGCCTAGTCATCGCCTTCCTCGACGGGCAATGTTAGCTGATATAGGGTCAGGCTGGAAAAGAGCTAGCGGCGGTCAAACCAAAACATGGCACCAGTCAATGAAATCCACAACAGTTAATCTAAGTCACGTAGGAAGTTGTAGACTTCCTGAGTGGTTGGGGTCCTCGGGCCGGTAGAAACCAATGGTTGGAAACAATTGGTGACATGGCTCAAAATCGTTCTCAATGGCTGGCGCAGATGCATCCACTCCTTGTGACTTATGATCTCCAATTAAACTTTTGTTCTCCGTTATTACTATTCCTTTGTCTCACACCTCTGTTTACTGTCTATATTATGCATTTCTTCTACTTCCTTCTCTTGCTTTGCGTGCTACATAGATTGTGGCGACTTGAACTGCCGCACATATGTGCAAAGTTCTATGTCGAAAACCGTCCGTCCGTCCGTCATTACAGTTAATACTGCAACTTCCAGGCTAAATTATTACGTTTAGTCTTTATAATTAACTTTTAATTTATCTTGTTAAATTCTTGTTTTTAACTAGAAATATTTATCATCATAAAACTGACTAAACAACTAAATGAACAAAGTGGAAGCCTCTTCTTTGTTTATTACTCGTTAATAAGTGGTTTGTTTTTGTTGAATTAATCTGACTTTACTTTTCTTGCTATAGGTGGTGCCTAATCTGTATACGTTCCCGTCACTTGCCTTCATTAGACCACATCTTTGAGTTTCTGAATAGTCAAGGTCGTATGAGGTATACCCGTGCAATATATCGGTGAGTTGACTATTGTTATTATTGTTCCTTTGGGCTTCAACTGCACGTCTCCACTTTTTCCTATCCTCTGCGGTCAACTTAAGCTGTCCCAACGATTGCCCATAGTCTCTCATCTCCTCTCCACACACGATTTTCTCCATGTCACCCTCGAACGCCCAACTCGTCATTTCCTATTCGGGCTCCACTCCAGCTATGGCCTGTGGCTCACAGTGTCATTCGACGGTCTCCTCAGCGTGTGTTCAATCCATCTCCATTTTCTTTCACATATTTTGTTGAGTTGATAGTTGTTTTTAATTCCTCTTAAACTAGTGTGGTGAGAGCTGGCTGCTAGCCAAATTGGTAGGCAGTAATTTACGTCAATATTTATGTCCCAAATATTAGTCATGTGAAAACAAGAACAAAGACTGATAGCAGACTGTGCGTAGGCGGATACAATTAGCAGATAGATGATCTGACATTCAAGAGACAGCCATAAAGAGATGAAAGATTAACTTTAAGTGAGAAACAACCAATCAGAAGACTGTGTTTGTCTCCTAACAATAATCTATAATAATGTATATGAAAATTTATAAATATGTGTTGATTTCCATAATAAATGGTCTGATGCCTGACTCTTGCCTTCTGTCGTTACACTAGTAGCTGAATACCCACCTTAGTCTTGATTCAGATAGATAAATACACACAAACTCTACTATATAAAGTGTGGTTAGTCAGTAGAAGTATTATTATTATGATCTTGAGCTGTTGGCTCATCGGTATAGGTAGTCGATTTTCAACCATTGGGTCACAGATTCCAACTGTGCTCCACCTACCTTGTGGGGTTTGAGCAGCCAGATAGTGTCACTAGCCTTCACGCTCTAGGTGGTGTTTATTATCATCTTCATAGAGTTGCAAGTGGTATTTTTGAGTAATACACTCGTTCAGCATCCTAACACAATAAATATAAATCATTGCTCAGAGCTTGTAAATGTAATGTTGGATAGGTTGTATTTCTACTTATCATTGTAACTTGAAGTATTTTCTATATCACCACTAAATTTACTACTTATAATTTGTATTGCCAATAATATATATATATATATATATAAACTTCAGAATATATTTTGGTTTCTTATACAGTCAGCAGTTAATTTTGTTAGTCTATATAGTTTATTCATTAAAGGCTAAGATTACATTAGAATTATTTAAAAGTGGACTTTACCGCTATGGGTCAAAGTATATATCAGTCGATTACAGATTTGTAGCATTTGATTTAGATTACCAAAGCCAAAAACCAAAAGGTTTAAATGATGTATCGCTCTTATTCATTTACATGATACTGTCTAATTTAATGAAGTGATGGTACTACCGCCTTACTGTTCAAATCATTCTCCTTGATTGCTGATAATCTTCCTTGAGTAACAGGTAGAGTGAAAAGAAAATTGCAAAACAGTAAAAACGATTGAACCTTTGAAGATGTGGGTTAAGTCTCACTGTCGATTGTTTCTTGTAATGATCGATTTTATGATGTGTTTTGGCTCCTGTTTTTACAAGTTTATTTATTTCACTATATATCCTCACATTTTGTCTAGTTGTTATGACATTTTTATTTGACTTAGAAGTGATTACAAAAGTGCATAAAGTGACCTTCAGGTTGTGGTGAATAAAAGGCTCTAAGGTTTACAATAATGGTTTAGAAAAAATCAAAAATGAGAATGAATTCACTGTGTGCAAAATGGTTAGTTATTTGCAGTCTATACAGCTCGAGTGGAAACCAAGTTTTTCAGAGCACATTATGTGATCTTCTTGAAACCATGAATTATTTTTTAAAAAAATTTTTATTCCTCTGCCTTCCCAGTGGAACATAGGGCGTCAAGCTAGAGATTTGAAGTTTCGGTAGCAGTGGTGTTTATTTTTACGGGGTGGGGTTGTTAGTCTCACTCCCAACTTTCCTTCTTTGCCGGGCTTATTACCAGCTAGGCGAGGTTTGGGAGTGTGTCGACCAGGGGCCGAATCCCGGACCACCTGAATAGGCTGACGAGTATTTTACCTCTGCGCCACCGACGCACGATGCCATATAAATGGTAATCAAGAAAGCATGAAAATGTATGCCTCCATCCAGTGTTTAGACTACCTCGATCTGTCTAGCAAGCTTTAGTGGTTGGAATGAGTAGTATGCAACTACTCAATTCAATCAATCAGCAGTATATAGTTTTATGCAAAAATAGGAATGCTTAACTATTACTCCTGGTTAAAAGTGCCTACTCACCAATACTGTTTTAAAACTGAAAACGTGAACCGTAGTGAAACAAGGAATAAATATGTTGTCAACAGTTTCACCCTATAATATTTGAATAAAGTTTGCTGGTAGGTGATGATTTTTCTAATAATGGATAAGCAGTAGTCGGACTAACCTAAAAGTGCCAGTGAAGTTCATCAATGCGACTGTAATCGAGGAGAAATCTGTAATACTCTTTGATAAATATCTGCTAGTGAAGCATTGCTTGAATTTTCGTGTTTCAAACTATGAGTCACACTACCTACCTACCTACCCAGACTGAGGTAGGTGGTGCGGGATTTGAACCCGGGATCCGTTGACTGAAAGTCAACTGCTTTAGCCAGTAAACCACATCTCCACCACACACCTGTAAATCTACAGGAAGTCAAATAGTACTTGTGTGACATTTAGATCTGAAGATTGGTGGCTCGTTTAAATCACTGGGCCACCAAAAGTTTCATCCAGTATAATGCGTAAACCCTTCTCCATTTCTTACTCCTATTAATCATCTAATTGTGTATTTGGTTGGCTAAATGATCTCGCTCACATTCTCAGTTTACTGTTAACGTATAATGCAGAGCACTTCTCAGAGTAAATCAGTAAGAGATATTGTAGAGGATTGTATATTGTAAATATTCACACACACATGATATACTGCCAAATACTATTTTACTTGAAGATTCTCAACGTGGAGTAGATATTTGACAATTTAAGTAAGCTGAAAGTTCCATAGGATGTATCAGCACATTGTCTAGAATGAAGCTGTTACTACTGCTATTATTATTATTATATTATTATTATGCTTAAAATTGTTAGCTGTTTCTTAATTTTTTTTAAAAAAATACTTTATATCGTTATTAATTAGTGCATTGGTTAAATGGCCGGAGGCTAAGGAGCGTACAATATCCAATTTTCGCCAACAACGTCCATTTATGCACCAGACAACTGCAATGCAAGTTGAAATTGATCTAGGACTTCAAGAAAAGGGGACAGCTGCGTGTACCACCTAAAATTTACCAGACTTCCAGATATCATGTGATTCATTTTGGTGTTTTATGTGTGTGTATTCATAAATATTTAATGATCCCACTTGTGAATTCTTGGATTTCGATTTGTTTCTTAATGAAATAACTACGGACCAATCAGAACGATAACATTAGATGAAAGGAAAGTGAAGCGATATTGAAATAATAGAGAAGATTTGTAGCTCAGGTGGATGATTTGCAATTAATAGTGTTCTCTGAGCTGGTTGGTTTAGTTGTGACCAGAAATTTTAAAATCCAAGTCAATAGAAAATGGTCAATACATATGTAAAGATAGTTACCAGGAGACGCAATTATATCACTCATGAAGAAATTTAAATCATTTCACTTTGTGCTAAATATGGCGCTGAAGATGTTGTCCAGAAGGACGACGAAAGCTTTGCAACTAAACCAACCAGCTCAGAGAACACTATTAATTGCAAAGTGAAGCGATATGTCAAAATTCTGGATGAATTTGAAAACTCAACAGAATTGGTCTATTGGTTGCAGAATTTCATCATGAGCTGACATTGGTTAGAGAACCATCGGAAAACCTGGGAGCACTGGACAGCTGTTCCGTCCTAGCTTGGGACTCTTCAACAGTACGCACCCACCGGGATTCGAACCCAGGACCTTCTGGTTACAAGGTGAGCTCGCATACCATTAAGCCACTGGGTCCCGATCCAATGGCCCATGAATTCTAACTTCTGCCAATTCACTATATAGCGCAGCCGCTAGCCAATGTCTTCGGTGAGTATTTGTCCTCACACCCGACCTGCTGCACCCTACTGGTCACGACTGGTCTATTTCGGCTTTTATGACGTTAGGGATTGTTGGTGTAATAAAAGCCTAGGTTGTGATACAATTTAGACCAGTGACCAACACAGACCCGATTGCTTATCAGACTTTAATTTCCTCTCCAGTTATTGGGGTTTTATGAAGCCACAATGTGAACGGGCGTTGCAAAACATCACCACATTGGGCTAAGGTTTTTGTTTATCGGAGCTTGTTAGTTGGGATCTGGTTTCATCATCTTTCTACTGGGCTGTTTTGTGGTGTAATAAACAAATTTAGTTATGTTTCTTATTCACAGTGCTTCACATCAAGACAGCTGAGTCTTTACTTATATGTCATAAACCTTGTTTACCTCTTTCATGTATCTGCTGCAAAAGAGGCAACTCATTAGCCTAGGAAATAACGCAGTATTGTATAGAGCGGTAACTGTTAGATCCGCGTAACGATGGGGCATGCCAGGACGGGTGCAATTACATTCAAGCAGGATGAAAAGTGTTTTGGATCTTACTACCAACTCCATTCAAAGTGTAGCTTTCCATCTGTGATTATTTTTTTCCTGCGTTCACGTCACTCAGTCCCAGTAAGTGACCATAAACACTAGAGGCCTCATGATATGAACTATGTGGTCGTTTGATTGTAACACAGTGCTAATACAGTAGGAATAAATAGAACTAGACTCAAAATGAGAAATTACAGGATTGGTGACTTGTCACACTTGATACAGTTTTGTGAGGCTTTTTATTATTCACTTGTCAATACTTAGCAGAATTAGTCAGATAAGACCATTCCATATCTAGTTTACTTCATCAGTAAACTCGAAATTAAGGGTTCAATCTACCATCTTGTAGTATTCACCCAACTATAAAACAGTGGTGTATATTGTTGAAAATGATTTTCAATAAAGCAAGAACAACAGTTTTTGCCTCTCATCAGCTGCTTACAGGCCAAAGTCATTATTAAGTATATCTACAGAAACAATTTTAACATACTTGCACAGGAGCAGTTATATTGGAAGAATATAAAGAAGGGAATACCTCCGATTTTCTGAACATGTACCAAAAAGCCCATGTCTCAAGGGAACAAATGCTTTCAACAGTCCCATCGCCAGACATCTCCCTGACACGGATCATGAGGTGGACGTCGCAAGATCGTTCAAAATTATCGATAGGCAAAAGAGTTCAATTCTCCTCAAGTTTGCTGAAGTCATCTCCATCAAGCGCCTGGAAACTGATTTATGCGTTCAGAAAGAAACATTTATCAGTCTTTCTTTGCCCTGGTAACTGGATATTTTCACCTCTCTTTCATTTGATTACGTAATGTCGAAAGATTCCATTGTGCATGATCATTATTGTTCGGAATAGTGTTTAATATTATATATACATGCACATATTGATTGATATACTTAATAATGACTTTGGCCTGTTAGCAGCTGATGATGAGAAGCCAACGACATAAATGATGGTACCATTTTATTCTGCAAAAACTGCTGTTGTTCTTGCTTTATTCAAATTCAGTAAGGGGAATAAATGTATAAAAAATGATTTCTTGTAGAGATACAGTAAATGGGTTGCTAGTATACTTTGCTCGAAATATATTAATTTACTATCAAACTGAACTAAGTAGTTTGTACTAGTAAACTTTGTTTTGATATCATAACAGATGTACTATTACAATTCCTGCAGTGGTGTGAACACGGGCAGTAATTTTGCTCGAAATATTACCAATAACAAAACTTATCATTGTGTGTGTAAACTATTGAAATATAATTATACTTTATTTGATTACCTTTGTTATTTGGTTTAGTGACCTTCATTGTTATTTTAACTTTCAATATGTCCTTTTAACTTGACCTAAGTCTATTTTCTCATCTCTTAACTCTTCGTTATGTGTATACTGAGATTTTGTAAAAACAACAATGTCGTTTTGTTTTTCATTCATTGGGAAATACATAGAAACTTTTATTATAATGAATATCATATACCCAATGGCCAAATTTTTTCAAACTGTTAAAAGTGAACTTGGTTTGGACATGTATAATTCATTCTGTACATCGTTAAGCAATGAATATATGTGCTAAATAATGAATGTACCAACAAGCTCATTAACACCTGACTTTGCGTTGCTGATCCTTTGAACAATGGTTTTACTCATTGTTCTTATTAAATAGTTAAGCATTCAGACTTTTGCATGCGATGTGTTAGTTGTTGTGTTTCAATAATTTGAGGAGAGCACAAATTAAGTATTTATGAATATCTCTTGGTAGTAGCTTCTAGATCGAATCGATGATATTTCATACTTTCTATTGGTTGAAATCTTCTTTGTTCATGAAATTTATCTGAAATGAAAATATAGAGCTTTTATATGCAATTTACGTGATATGATTTTTTTGTCCCTATTCGCCATCACAATGAGTGTCATTTAAACCTAGACACTAGAAGTTTAAAATTAGGTTTCTTGTTAACAGTGGTATTTTAAACTCATTTTTACCACTGAAGCAGAAATCCTTAAGACTAGAATAATGAAAAGACAGTTGGTTCTTATTCCTACTAAATATTCTAACATAAACATTTATAGATAATTGGAAGTAGTAGTAGTGGTGTCCTGTCTTACGATTTAAATCCTACTGTTGCACTTGATTTTGCATCAAGAAGGCCTTGTTGGAGTGTCAGAGAACATTATGGTGGACAAGTTTAGACCATAGGGTTATCAAACGTTATATCAAGTAGCACTCTGTAAAAGTAGCGGTTCAGGAATTCAAGACAGTGTCGAGCAATCCAATATACATTTCATAACCAGGTTCTCTGGATTAATATAAACAAAGTAGGAAAAAAAATATTTGCAGCTGTTTCAGTTTATGGGTTTTCTTCAGCTGCCAACAGCCTATTAGTAACATAAGTTACTATAAATGTAATAACACAACATATTTCAAAACATTATTTCAACTTAGAGAGTATACAAGAACAAGTATAAATGCTTGGCTGTAAAGGGAATGCCGAGAAAATACATTGCACTGATTAAGGCACTCTACTCGTACTCATCCAGCCAGGTGAGGGCTTATGGCGAGTTGTCATCTGAAGTGGTGACGACTAGTGGCGTCCGTCAAGGATGCCCATTATCCCCATTCCTATTCAACTTCATCATAGATGTACTAATGGACTTAACCCTAACTCACTTCAGCGACTCAGGGATTGACTTGCTACCAGGGAAGAATCTCGTTGACTTAGAATATGCGGACGATATAGTCCTTCTAGGCGAGGACTCTGACAAAATGCAGAGTCTACTGAACACCTTGAGCTGCAATCTAAGAATGTTTGGCATGCGATTCGCCCCTGTAAAATGTAAGATGATGCTGCAGGATTGGACTTCACCGACCCCTAGATTACAAATAGGAAGTGAAGTGGTAGAGCACGTTGACCGCTTCAATTACTTGGGAAGTACCATCAGCCCCAACGGGTTGATCTCTGACGAAATCTCAGCACGAATACAGAGGGCTAGTTTCGCATGTGCCAGTTTACGCCGTCTCTGGCGTAGACGTGATATCCGACTATCGACCAAAGGGCGTGTGTACTGCTCAACAGTCCGCTCCGTCCTCCTTTATGGCTGTGAGACCTGGCCACTGAGAGCAGAAGATATGAAAAGATTAGCTGTCTTCGATCATAGGTGTCTGCGTTCTATCTCCCGCGTGAAGTGGTATAATAAGGTGAGCAATATTGAGGTTAGGCGTCGAGTGCTAGGTAAGGCGGGGAAATCAGTCGACGAGACTGTGAAATTACATCGACTGAGATGGTTAGGACATGTGTTACGTATGCCTAGTCATCGCCTTCCTCGACTGACGGGCAATGTTAGCTGATATAGGGTCAGGCTGGAAAAGAGCTAGCGGCGGTCAAACCAAAACATGGCACCAGTCAATGAAATCCACAACAGTTAGTCTAATCCACGTAGGAAGTTGTAGACTTCCTGAGTGGTTGGGGTCCTCGGGACGGTAAAAACCAATGGTTGGAAACAATTGGTGACATGGCTCAAAATCGTTCTCAATGGCTGGCGCAGATGCATCCACTCCTTGTGACTCATGATTTCCAATTAAACTGTTTTGTTCTTCGTTATTACTATTCCTTTGTCTCACACCTCTGTTTACTGTCTATATTATGCATTTCTCCTACTTTCTTCTCTTGCTTTGTGTGCTACAAGGAGGGAGTGTGGCGACTTGAACTGCCGCACATATGTGCAAAGTTCTATGTCGAAAACCAACCGACC